ATTATAGAAAACTGAAGCCACAGTCCAAGTATTGTCTCAACTCAGCTCGGGACAACATATCTATTCCAGATGGAGGAACCAGCTTTTCTCTGACCTCTTTTTTCGCTCATATTTTTCATTTTTCTTGGATTCCAGAGACCCTTTTTGTTACGCTAGCAGAAGGTTTGCACTAATATTTTAGAAATATCACTGTGGATGCCATTGGCCTTTTAATGCTGCCTGTTTTTGACTTTGGCATGCAGCTTAATATGTGTCCAGGAAGTCTGGGTCACTGCATCTTTGTGTTGATTGGTGGCTTGCAACTTCTTTTTTTCAGTCTTCCTGTAAGCTTGGGGAGAATACTCACCAAAGTTGAAGATCTTCCAGTAAAAAAGAGAGCGCTACAACAAGCCAGCAGCTGAGTGCTGTTCAAAAATGTTTACTCATTCCAGGCTTTATTTTATGTTGCCATCACCAAGGCTGTGAATGAATGTTTGTATACTGAACACCTGTACTTTATCTATGCAGGAAGATTGGGCAAGAGGTCCACGAGGCCCTCAGGGTCCTCTGGCTGTAGGACTTTGAAAAACACAGAATCATATTATCATCACGGTCTAAGCCAATGTTGTGGCAGCTCCACTTTTTGAATTAAATGCCTTTACACAAGAGCCTTAAAAATTCAATTACACTGCAAAACATGTTGTTAAATTCTGTCCAGAAGAGAAAAAAAGTCGTGAACAAACCTTTTGTACTATTAAATGCTCACATACAGGGCATGAACTGCAATCTGTTGATGCATTTAACAGACAGATGCCAGCCCCCTTCAGTCCCTTAATGACGGGGCAGACTGGGCTGATCTCCAGAGGTGTGCTTTCCCCATCAGAGCGCCTGCTCTCTTTCACACCAGGCCAGACAGGAACACACCAGTAATGGAACTCAGTGAAACAAACAGGTGATACAAACCACTATGACCTTCCCAAAAACCTTTTTTTTCTATCTACAAGAATCACACTTTATACGAGGAGATTTATGATTGATGCATTAAAAAAAAAGCTGGACATTTTTAAGACCGTTCTCAAAAATCTCTTTCAAAACCAACAATTCCTAGAAGACAAAACAGAAAAAAAAATCACAAGCCGAGCGAGTCTGAGCTTTTATTGGATTGATCACTGGATTTAAACTCTCTGCATGCTTCTTTTTAAAAAAACACATTACAAAGATTGTGAAAGAGATTTTTAGGAACTGTCTTAAAAATACTCTTCATCATGCCAAGTACTTCCACTCTTGGCTTTTGAAGCATCTTAAATCTTTTAAGTCAGGCCAATTCAAAGTGAAGAGTCAAGACCTTTTAGATTTTGATGTTGGACAACTTAATAATTTGAGTTGCACTCAAGGAAAAGTTGTGTGCATTCACAGTGTTTTCAGTATATCAATAAGCACCAAAAATGCAATCAACACTTGTTCAGTTTAAGAGAAACTCAAGTAAAGTATATTCATATAGTCCTTCATCACAAAGCTTATTTGAAAGGACCTTACAGGAATGCAGTCAAGAATAATTCTTCCAAACTGTATGGTTTTTCATCTAATGGTTGTTCAGACATTTCATTCAGAATATAAAATCATTGTCGACCCAAAAGTCTAGGTCTCAAAAAACTTTCCCCTGGATGTAAAAATGAGGAATCACTGTTAAGAATCTAGTTTTTACCCTGATAAAACATATGGTTGATGTGAATATGTTAAAACCCCTTTCCCACATGCACCCATCTGCTCCAGACCCACTCAGACTTTATTGTCTCATTTAGCCTTTTACGTTTTAGTCTTTGCTTATTTCGTGTTTATTGTTGATATTTAATGTTGTACGTTTTGTACATAGAGAGCACAGTTCACCAAAGTCAAATTCCTTGTATGTGTAAGTATACCTGGCCAATAAAGTTGATTCTGATTCTGAAACACTCCATTGGTTAAGCTGGGAAGTAGAGAATGAAGACTGTAATGTGATGTGACTGCTTCTGTGTTTTTTTTTTGTCACTACTTGTACAAGGACATTTCAGAACAGTAGGAGTCAACAAATATGCTAGGATTCATCCTCTGGGGACCATGAACATCTGAACAAGATGTCATGGCAGTCCAACCAATAATTATTGAGTGTCCCAATCTTAAACATAGGGATTCAGTGATTTAATAAACTGGCACTCTTCCATTGCTTTTCTCTGTTAGGTCCCCCAAGAAAAATCCACATCATGTCTACTGTTTTAGAAATAGAGAAGAAGAAGGAGACGTGTAAGAAAGATGCATTGTGTTTGTTTGGACATGGATGAGTATTCCATTGAGAAACAGTCATCAATATTGTCCTCGTGGTGCAGTGGAGACTCTGTTAGAAGCAGTCTGTTGCACATAGTACAATAAATGCTTTTCTTTAAAAAGAACAACCCACCAATCATTTTTCAGTGTCATCAGAAGATAATGATGTTACACTGAAGATCCGACGTTTTTGGGTTACTTGATAAGAAAAAATGTGTTCTACTTCCATACAGAGAACAATGTCTAGTGGAGAAATCCTATGATGTACTGGAGCTGTTTAAAAGTGCAGCCACATCCTAGAACTGAAGGCAAAAGATCATTAGTTTGGTTTATACCTGCCTCGAGTAACAAACAGGAAACCATTTTAATGAAAACAATGAACATTTTGAACGTGCCTTTACAGGCGCATCATAAAGACTTTCTTCGAAGGTGTGAATAATCTGTCAGCAACCAAACAACTGACTGATTGCTCTAAGACTTATTTGGCCTAAAGAAGGAGGGATCAGTTTGAGATGAGTTTAATCAGTCCTCAAAGTAAAACTATTGTCTTGAAGAGAAGAAGTTGGTTGCCTTGTGATGCCCTGTTCATCTGCAGAACAGATGAAGAGGATACAGAACCGCTCAAGGTGTAGGACTAAGAGGATTTCTCTGTCAGCCAGCTTTAATTTCATTTAGAAGTCTGCTTGTTCTTGTGATGTTTTGTCTTTTCCAACCCTCTTATGTGTGCTTGTCCCTTTCATCTCTCTGGTGTTTATTGCAGCACTTTAAAGTTGCTGCACATGTTTGCAAATGTCCTCGTAAAGTTTAAATATTTAAACTTTCTTGCCGTATTTATTTTGCATTATATATAAAAAAGACAAGGGACCACGGTGGAAAATTTGCCATTCTAGGTTGTCTCCTACAAATAATGTAAATTGATGAGCAGACAGACGTTGCCAAATAACCCAATTAAGACAGCAAAGTGGAAAAGACTCCAAATACTGTTGGAAAGAAGAATCTCGCTCCTCCCTCAGGATTCAAAGAAGCAATTCATTTTCTTTAGTTGTTTTTCGAGCCATAGTATAAACAGTGCAGCATGTTGGGTCCAAGGGAGCAAAGGCCAATTAGGCTGTTCGAGATTGTGTTGGAGGAGGTGAGCGTCACATCTGCTACACAGCATGCTCCTGCATATTTCTGTGGGGCAACTGGGACTGATCACAGCTGCAGCTCAGTGGGCCGGAATCAATTGGAAACCCAGATCTGAAGGCAGGCCAGATCGATATGTGAAACTACTTCACTGTCTGATGGTCAAATACAAACTGACAACAGAACCGTTCAGTAAAAGAGGAAGTGTAGGAGATACCCCCAGGCAGGCTTTTATCGAGACTAAGAGATGCATTAAAATGTCTAAAGGGAGACTTAAATAAAGGCCATCAGAATCCGAACATAGAGGCAAAAGCTTTTTGGAGGGGGTGCGGTTTTGCATAATTAACTACCTCTGGAAGTTTTCGTTTTAGTCCCTGAAAAGTGCTGCATTGTCAGGGAAAAATAGCGTGATCATAAGAAGGAAAAAAGGGAAAAGCATTCTTGGCTCTTGGCTATTTTCTTGAAGGGTCGAGTTAGATGTTTTGATGGAACTTGACTCCCGTCTGCTGGTCAACGGGAGAACTGCATCCTCAAAATATATGAACTTCATAACCTTGCTTCAAGCAAGAAGTATATCCAGCTTTACTGTTAAAAGTGAAGCCAGAAAAAAAAAATCTTTCTTTGTTTTACAACCCCTGTTGCTTATCATATAGCTAATTTTTACAAAGACATAAACACTGAATGTGTTCTTCTGAACTACATATCGCTGCTCAACACTTAAAGGTGATCTGATTTGTGGTTTTCTGGACAACATAAGCTACGGACCTGCTGATGCACCCTCAGACGTTATAGTTACTAGACGAGCTCCACAGCTGGAGAAAGTGGTATGGTATTTTCTATTGAAATCAGGTTTGCAGATTAGTCATTTTGACTATTTAGATTATACAATCAGGGTTTGTCCTTTAATCGTATGCATGGCTAATGCTCTGTTTTTCAAAACCCATTTAAAAAGCAGTTGACCTATTTTTGAACAAAGCTTATATAGCTACAAATTAACCTTTAATATTTATAACAATCAGAATCATAAACTCTAAGGTATGTGTGCACTAAAAGGAATTTAACTCCGTTAGCTTTGCTCTCTATGTTCAAGCATAAAAAATGAAATATTAAACTAATCTATACAAGCCTACATGCACTGTATGCCAATGTAGTGCATTTAGTTCTTGAATTAAGAAAAATAAATATTTTTTTTCCCCGACTCCAGCTTTTCAATTGTTAACATTTTGGGCTTTTCTGTTGATTTTATTTTGACAGTATTTTAACATTGGACCATTGGTTAAGACAGAAAGAGACACCTATAAAGATGTCTACTTGGACATTTAGCCACAGATTAACTGATAACAAAAAAACTTTTTACTTAAATGCAAGAGAAACAAAAGAGAAGGTTACATTTGGGTCATTTGTTTAAGAAGTATTCTTCATTTAATGAAATCCTGTATCCGTATCATTAGACATGATCAGTCTACAAACATGTTGCTTCCTCATAAACACAGATTTAGTAAGGTTCTGTTATTCAAGATTATGTGGGAAGGTGGCCCTTAGTTGGGCCTTAATTCCCGACAGAGAAGGAAAACAAAGACACAAATAGCACCTCATTAACTTTCAGGCATATTTAATTGGCACAGTAAACACAATACAAAGTATTCAGTGCTCCAGAAACACAAGCATAGGCTACCAAATGGAACACAAACAAAAAGTGCAAAAACACACCATTTGGTAGACCTTTACAAAGGAAAAAAAGTCTTACTTTGCAAAGCAGATAAAGTAATTTGAAGACTCTCAATAGTTAAAATAGATGTTTTTCCTTTTTAGACTTTATTTATATATTCATATATACTCTTTCTAATTCCAACGTGCCGTTTTCCTCTGTACAGGCAGGTTAATCGGGGCTTTGACGAAGAGATTTGTGGTGGTCTCGAAAAACTGGCAAGTCAGTTCTATTATCAAGTCTACTGCTGCCTTTAGAGTTGTGGTCTGTGCCTCATCATGTTTATGTTTATTGAAAACCAAAGTAAGCATTTTGTTTGATATCTTTTCATATTGAGTGATGGGTGGTGAAAATCAAACAGAATGTGTGAGCGTAAATCAACAGTGGTTTTATCATTCCTTTCACCAAGAGTCCAAGTGGTCAATACGTTCATGTAACACTAATGTTCATAATATGTTGCAACAGATGAATATTTAAAAATGGCTTCATCCAAAAGATGTCATGGTTACTCATATTTGCAGTTCAAGCAGAATAAGCTACAACACAGATTTCCAGCTTTAAAAAAAAAACCAAAGAAATAAAAAGCAAAGAAAGCCGAAAGCCAACTTATCATCATCAAATATAAAACAAAGATGTTAAAAATCACGTTCGTTATGTGCCATTGAGCAGGTAAAGGGGATCAGTGGACATCATTTCTATCTTCAGTTTCTTGATTAGAAAAACTCAAATTTGCTCCCAAATTCTGAGATAATCACATCTTAGTCCATGCACCAGCATCATTCCGTGTCTTTGAGAACCCAGTTAAGGCCCACTAAAGGTGGTTCAGGGTCACATTTCAGTCACAAACTCACAGGTAAAATGTGGATCACAGTATATTTCCATATACAGTAGCAGTAGACAGTTAAAAGTGGACAATCCCAAAAACATCAGGTGTAATATCATATCTTCATCCACCAGACTCACAGAGCATTTTCCTTGATGTCATGCTCAGGGACGGGAAGTTTACATTGCTTGTAAAGTTGTACTGCTTTAGTCCAGGTATAATGCAAATTAGATTAATGATTGTTCAACAGTTGAAAAAAAGGAAATCGAGAAAAAAAAAGTAAGTTTAAAGTTAAAACAACATATTTGATGTGTCATTTGGTACCTACAACTAAGCCTCAGCAGCAAATGTTAGCTTTCCACCAATTCTTATCTTACATTGTGTTTAGCTAGGTAGCACTATTATCGGCTAGGAATTCACACCATTCCTAAGAATGTGTAACATTATCATATGGTAAGTGGTTAAATTGCAATCTTGTACTTACATCGGAAAATGCTGAATATAAGGGCCACATTTCAAGCTAAACAACACATCTGCTGACTGAATAACTGCAGCTAACATAACCATTCGCTAAAGCGTTACCTTCAGCCAGGAATTTTAGCAAGTAACTTGACGTGTAATGTTAGCTAGAACGTGCTTGAATGCTAACACTAGCTGATGAATTAGATACCAAACACTAAGTCACAGTGGCTGTAATAAGCATTCATTCTTTTCCTAGCAAATATTACCATTTGCTAGCTAGCATAACGCTCAGGCAGGAATTAAAGCCTTTTTGTGACATCATGTTACATTTTCGAAATGTATAGCTGATGACTCATTGGGTACCAAAAAGCTAAGACACAGTAGCTAACATTAGCATTCATTATTTGAGCCATAGTTCAAGCTAAAACATTTTTGGAAGAGCTTTAACTGCAAAGTCACAACGGTAGTCACAAGTTAGCATGTCACAAATTCTTAGCAAAAACAGTTATGTTAGCTAGGGAGTGGCTGAATTGTAATGTAAGAGATCTAGCTAATGACTTGTAAAATATGTTGCTTTAACTTGTTATAATACTCAATATCCTTGGAAATTTGGACAAGATATTTAATATTTTCAGATGGTTTTTAATCAGTCAGCTGGGATTGGAATTTTTTTTTTCTTATCCCTTATTTTTTAAACCTTTTGCAAGCCTACCACACGGCCAGTATACAACATTTCCACTGCATCTGAGCTTCCCACCCTGAGAGTCTTGTCAGAGTAAAATAGCTCACATATGAATGTGATGGAAATTTTTTTTTTTTTGTCAAACTGTTGCTGCTTGAAATGAGTGTAGGTGTTTCCACAGGGTGATAAACTGTAAACTAACAAATACTTGCATTAGACACTCTGATGAAAAAACATACAATACTAACATTTTTTAAATACATACTGTACTGTGTATTTAACAGTAAAACAAACGCACAAGACCTACCTATGCAAACAAATCATTCAGAAAACAACATTTCCGGTCCCTATTCTCCTTTTCATACAGTTTACAGATTTAACTGGGGAACACTGGGAGGAGGAGATCACTCACTCACTGTTAAAAACAGGAAAACATGCTTTCTAAGACAAAAAAAAAAGAAAAAGAAAAAAATGAACAACAGGCACTGAACCCAAACGGTAACATTCAGGTTAATCCAAACAGTGAGACCAGGCAATGAGGGTTAACTGAACAGAAAGGCTGGACGAAGCTGACCAAACACCACCCCCAACAACACCTCCTCTGTGTTGTTAGCAGAGAGGAGGGGCAGAGGAGGAAGACAGGGCAAGCATGCAGCACACCGCAACGCTGGGAGGCTCCCCCCTGCCCTGAGCTAAAGCAGAGCCTGAGCTGCCTAAGGAGGGGGAGGACCGTGGGGGTGAAGGTCAGAGAGAGGAACAGACACCAGTGACAACAAGACAAGAAATTATAGGATGAGTGATAGCGAATAATGCATCATTCATCTCTTCTCCTCTCAGCTGGAGAAAATGGGCCGTTACAAAGAAGACAGACATACAAGCATCCAGATAAGAAACAAACACACAACATAAAACAGAATCATGTAGCATACAGACAGATGATTAGCACCTTCACTTCTTGATTTCCAGATGGTTTAACCTGCAAAAATGGATTTTAGTGGGAGTGGTGACCAGGTGAGATTCTTAAAGCTCCAGATGTAGGCAGAGGAGCCCAGGGTGATTCTGAGAAGTTCATGTCTCTCACACACACACACACCACTGCATGAAAGGTGTTTTTAGGTGGAATTTTTGACTCCTGCTGGTACCTGTCCCGTCTCTGACCACACCCTCTGCCATGTGAGAATGTTTATGTGTGTGCAAGAGTGTCTTCAAGGGGGGGGCAATAATGTAAGGGAAGCAAAAGGGGCGCGTTCAGATATAAGAAGCCAACAGCCACATTCAGAAACCGAGCGGTGCAAGCTGAGTTAGTTCCATTTAGAAGCAAAAGCTTTGCTGACAACAACAAAAGAAGCAAATTGAATACTGTGGTTGTGACTGCTGTATGGGTGTTAAGAATGGAGAAGGTTAGGAGCACTAAATTTAGATGGATATCTCTTATTGTGTCTTGAAATCACAGTGTTTCTGCACACGAAGAGCAACACTCTCAATACGTTTTTTTTTTGTTTGTTTTTTCCCGTTTGTTTTTGTCAAATTGAGTTGCGAATCTTCCTCTTTTAGATTGGGGTCATCTTTCACTTTCTTTCTCTGACTCTGTGAGCGCGGGAGGAACATGGTCGGGTGTTTTCTCCGAGGCTGCTTGCCCTGCCATTCCTCAGCCAGCCTCTCACACTTTTAGGAATCTGCAAGTCAAAAAAGGTGGGAAAAAAAAACGAACAAACAAAAAAAAAAGTGAGAAAAAGAAAAGTTAGATACCTTTTTAAAGATAAATGAAGTCAAAGACAGACAGTCTCCCCAAATATTCAGACATGGAGAAGAGGAAGAGAGAATCCACTGCATGTATGAAAAATTATGGATGTGATATGCACAAACTGTATGTGTTAAGACGCCCTTTAAAACGTACTTGTATAACCAGTCACTTAAACCCTATCAATTTTATCTGGCCTGAAAGTTAGGATTCAGCCTTTGTACTTTGCATCATGCCAAACGTCAAATCACGTCATGATAAGGAAGAAAAAAAATCCTCAAATGTTGCATCATGCACCTGATTTCAAACGTTCTTTTCATGAAATGTGTATTCACAGCCCTGACGTCCTCCAAGTCACAACAACCCCATGCTGTGCCAGTAACAAGCCACCAAAGCTGATCAAAAGGAAGCTAAACAAAGACTTGTGTGATGAGTTATGAAAGAAATGATTCCTGATTTGATGCCAATCTTGAAAAGTAGCACAGAGTATCTCATAGTTGTAGCCAGGTGGAATGACACACCATGCTCTCACGATTCAGAGATCCATGCAAGAAAAAAAACCACAAAACGTTTTCAGCTCCCCGGATCTCAGCCCAGTCTCACCGTAGAGCTCAGATAATTCTCCCTCCTGTATTCCTCTACCACTCGCCTGGAAAAAGGACCAGAACAGCCCAACACTATCATTATCAAAAAGTCACTCAATAGAGAGAAAATACACTTTTATAGAGGCAATAAATAACTAAGTTCATCAATCATTGTAGAGGGAAGGATAATCACAAGTTTTTCTTGTAACAGCACTAAGATTAATCTGCAACATGCAACTTTTGGGGGCTTAGTTTTTATTTCTTTTTTTTGCCTAGAAAAATATTTTTTTGAATCTGTTTTCATATTGTACAGCAGATTTAAAAGACAGTTTCATGATTGCACATCAAGCATGCTGTCTTTTTTTTTGTAGCTACAACAAGTGATTGAAACACAATAACTTGCGTGATGATGTTCATACATTCACTCAGCGGAGTACAGCCATTAATCCAATTGTCGGTTGAAAACACGTAACAGTTTTTTCAAAATCTGAAATATTCACAAAAAACAAAATGAAACAAGATGTATAAAAAATAGAAAATACTGTGTGTTTGAAATGTTCTCGTGATCATTCTGTGTCAGGATGTGATTTGTCAAATCATGCCGAGCTGCGCCTGTGGATGTCATATTTTACATGTATGACCACTAGGTGGCACTGCAGTGAATAAGAGGTGAGAAACTAGAAGCTTTTTTTTCACACACGTCTTGTACAAAACATCCTCCTGCTCAAAGTGTTGTTTCATAAACCCGACTTTACAAAGAAAATGAAGTGACACACTAAGACTATCTGTCACAACTGTCTGAGGCACAATGTACTTATCTGATTCCCCATGGGACAGGAGACAGGAAGTGTGTGTGTTAGGGGGCATTATCTTATCCGAGCTAACAGTAACGCTCTTCCTGGTTCACAGGAACAAAAAAACGCACGCTTGCTCAGTTAAATGTATGTCATAGCACCTTTGGCATTTGTTTCCAAAAAGACCTCCACGTAGGATGTGGGGACGTATCCCTCCTCCTCCTCGTTCCTGCGCACTCGTGTCCAGCCGTCTCCTTTATCTTCTTCTATGACGTACAACAGCTCGCCCTCTGCCACTGCGATGGTGCCTTCGTTATGACCTGTGACAGACAGGGGGGACAGAAGAGAGAAAACAGATAAGGATACCACGAGTCCACCCTTGAATTAACTTCATATAGAAGGAGTTTTTTTTGTTTGTTTGTTTGATCTGAGGACAAAAAAGAAGCCAGACCTGCTGATGTGTTGTAGGGAATGTAAAAATAACACTACAATCTATTCAATGTGTTGTTTAGCTACAGGAGATAGTGCTAATGTGTGCTTAAACCATGACAGTTTGAAGTCACTACAGGTGAATATTAATGTGCAACATTTCCAAGCAGTCTTCCCAGCCCTAGTAGGTGCTGCATCCAAAAAAACATAAAAAAAGCAAAACAAGATCCGCACACATTGACAAGTGACGTTTCGAGCCAACATGCTCTTTCCCAGACTTCATTAACCCTAACCCTTTATTTTGGAAGAAAACATTTCTAAGTATAAGTGTTCAAACTTTGATTAGGCAACTGCAGGACTCCATGGTTTCAACCCCAAGATTAATCTGAATCTTAAAGTATCTTACCTCTTAAGGCACATTTATAGTTTAAATGAATGAAAACTAAATCGTTTTACAAGTTAGTACTTATTTAAAATACAAATCTCTTGTGGCTCAATGGGTTGAATAATCCCCCCCTACTCATCATTTAGTGAAATCAAACTCCTCCACCTTGCTTTTCTAGAAATCAGGTCCCTGTCTGCGTGTTATTCTAGAAATAACACGACCTTAACAGCTGCAACTCATTAATAAAGGGCCCATGCGTTCTAAATAATTCATATATTTTCACAACATCTGTGGTTTTATTACCTTCGAATGGGTACAAGGCTTTGCAGGTGCCGATGGTGGGCAGGGTCTCCTCGTCGTCAAACTCGTCATCGAACTCTGGCGTGGTGGACGTGGGGACGGGGTTGGTGTTGGGTACGGGGTTGATGTTGGCTTTCACCTGAGTCTCTGAGTTCTGCTCCTCTGTGTAGCTGCCATCTGGGCTGCTCAAGGGCCAACACACATACAGTAAATATACTGTGAAAACATACATGGTTTTCTTCTGAAGAAGTGAAGCGTGTAACACCTCCCCAGTGTGATGTTTGGTTGTTTTCGTCAGAGTATACCATACCTCTCTCTGTCCTGCGCACAGTTGTTGCTCACTGTTGTGTTGTTCTGGGTCTCATAGAGTCCACTTCTCCGGTGTGTATCGCTCTTGGATGGCATCCGTTCCTCCACCTCTGCTAACCAGCCCTGAAACACAAACAAAGAATTTGTATGATTGGTCTACAGCTTATCTTTTGTCCTGCGTGACAACTTAAGAGGGCCTTTACATGAGTCAAAAACCATGACAGAAAGAAACAGCTCCTTCTTCCTCTCCAGAATATTTGCCTTTTATATCATTGTCTTGGTGAAAATTCAATTCTGATTGACTTGATTTATTTCTTGGGTTTATTCAAAGACCGCAGATTAAGCTGTTTGGTTTGAACTGTTTGAAAGTTTCTTAGTTAACTTGCATTACTATCACAATGTTTCTAAAATGAGTAACGGAAGTAAAGGGATGAATTCAAAGCCGTGGTTTACGATATATTTCAACCAGCTGGTAAGCTACGTATCTCCTCAGTACAACAACGAGTGAATTCAACATTTCATTCGACCCTTTTGGAGAGCTTAATGCAGCTGAAGAACTGAAAAGTGACAAACATTTATTTATTTTTTATTAATGAGAGGGCTGACTGCAGCTCTGTGCAGGGAGAGAGAAGGCAAAGAGAGACCGATGTAACCCTGTGAGAAGGTCCGCTGTAAGCCCTGATAAGGGACAAAGTTGTAAATGAATTCCGGATACTTGTCATCCAGAAGAGAAATATCCAACTCATTACATGATCTCCCGCTTAAAAAAAAAGAAAGAAACTATCGTTTTGTGTTCTAATACCAGTTTCTTTACCGCCTTAAATGTTGTTTTTGGTTACCAGCAAGAAAATTCTATATCCTAACTTATTATCAACTGGGATCAACTGTTTTCAGGTAGATAAGCATGTGACAACAACAAATAAACATCAGTACTCTCTGATGTACGTCGCTTTGGATAAAAGCGTCTGCTAAGTGAATTGTAATTAAAAAGAAACAAACAACGACAGTGCGCTACTAACAGAGAGTGATGTGTCAGTTAAAGCTAGACACATTTTAGCAATCAGTGTTTTTCCATCCATTATATGTACATTTTCATATCACACACTGGTTATGTAACCATGGTTATGTAATGGTTCCAAAAAATATTGATTTGGAGGCGATGACCTAGCTGGTCAGCTAGCTAGTCTCTTTGTCAACAATGCACTGTGTTACCGACTTTATGTCTCAAACTTGAATGTCAAGTTGTATCAAAGATTCCTTTTAATATTTGAACAGATAAGAACATTTCCTTTACATTAAAGCTTTATTGGGTTCGGTCAAACCCTCATGTCTTACCAGGTAGGGGAGTAACAGATGGAGAAAAAAACTTTGATTTGACAGCATAACGCGTGACATCCTACAACTGGAGTCAATATGTTTGTGTTTGTTTGTTTTAAGCAAGAGATTGTGGAATAAGTTGGATATTTCCCTTCTGGAGGTCAATCATCAGGTATTTATTGACATTGTGGAGGCCACTTTGTCCCATATCAGGTCTTACAGCTGACTGTTTCACAGGGTTACATCAGTCCATTTCTCTTCGCCTTCTCTCTCCCCTGCACAGAGCTGCAGTCTGCCCTCTCCAGCTGCAGCACATCTTCTCCTAATATGGACGAGTAGCAGACTTCTCTGGAACTACCCCAGCTGGAGATGTGTGTCTGAACTCCTCATTATTTACTGTCTCATGTAAACCAAACAAGATCGCTCCGCCAACACTAACACTCACACACAGAAATGAGAGATTCACACAGGCACCGCACTCACCTCAAACTTCTGAACTTCAAACTGGAGCTTCTCTATGTTCTGGCCTATTTCTGATAGCCGGGGGTCGACGCTGGCCGGGTCTCCCATCTGAGGGTTCTTCACGTACACATCTTTCATTTTAGTCAGAGCATCCCTGGGGAGGAAAAAATAAACAAATCAGCTCAAGTTTGAAAGTTGAAAAAAAGGGTCATAACAAATTTCCATGGAAATATTTATAGGAAAAGGTCCCTCGCGCCTACCAAAATCTTAACGAAATATTCTGTTGGTACATCCAGGATTGTTTTGGATCAGTATGATTGAGAGTTTTTAAACAACTTCTTGTCGTAAACATCAGAGTTTTGTCATCTATGATACATTTTTAAAGGTCCTGTATTACTAAAGAAAAGAGTATCACAACATGCTTATACAATGTCAGCACTGGTGAACTTATTTCTAATGCACAGTTCAAATGAAAAGATACCTCTGGTCCATTTCTTTCTGAATGTCCTTATTCAGGTCATCCAGCTTGCCCTGCAGCTTCTTCCTCCTCTGCTCTGGTGGCAGGTGGCTGAAGTCCTCGGGTCCAGAGCCCTGAGACATAAAAAGGAGGAATAGAAATGGGCAAGAGAGGAGAGAAACCATGAGATGCAGAAACAGCAACTTTCATTATTCATTACTTGCTGTGCTGCTGATTTCATAAGGGCTTTTTTCTAGTTAGGTGAAGTATCTCCCTTTTGCTGTAAACCGTGTGAGCCAAGTCTCTGTGAAAAATCTATTTCACAAACAGGGCTCCTTATATGTTCAAATAATAATTGACCTGAAGGAGATACTGCAGCTTGGGATGTTTGTCTGCCTGTACACTTAAGGCCTTTTACCTATTCAGTCACTGCGTCTAATCTAGTGCTCTCTATGAATGCATCGGAAATGTATTAAAGTATAAGCACATCATATTATTGCTCATATAGGGTTTCAGTGTGAGCTGACTAATGGCTTGAAAGAGGTCTGTACTGTGTGTTCTTGAACTAAAGGTTGTGAGAGTGAGAGGTTTGTTCCTCCGTCCAGGTGTCAGATTTCCTTTTGAGAAAGTTTCCAGTCTGAACTGATGAGTCACTTCTCGGCAGTCTTTCAAATTTTCTATGAACATGATGCATCAGTATTTAAGTCCTGAAGCTTGCTAACTGTTAGCTGCTAGCTCACTCTGTGCGGAGACCCAAAGAGCTCAACATGAAATGATTATCCTTTCCGTCAGCTTTATAAAATGTTGTTTTGGTTTCCCATTATGGTTAAGCTGAAGCCAAACACTGGTAGACTCCTGGAAGTCGGCTTTAGTCTTGTACTTTTTGATTATTTTTCCATCTTGAAGAGTGAGATTATAGAACAACAAAGTAAAGGCCAACAACAAACTCTGCTCACCTGCGTGGCTATGTGCAAAACATTAGCAAGATATCAGCGATGATAACTCAATGAAAATGCTAATGTTTTACAAGTTTAAGTTTAGCGTGTTAGCATGCTAACATTATACTGACTATCAATTACCTAAAGTACAACTGTGACTGATGGAAAAGTTGGTTTGCTGGAATTTGGTTTTAGGGTTTAATTTCTCAGTTAAACTCTTTGGAGCTCTACAGAGCATGTCTTTGACTTTATTTAACAAGTTACAGAAAAGATAAAAGGAGATAAATGTGCTTTCTACTTTAGGCCTCTCTATCTTTGCACGGACTGAACAGGTGAAGGCCTCATCGGATCTCATTGAGATGGGTCACAACCAGTGTTAATCTCGTCAACGAAAATAAATGACGACAATATTCGTTAGTCAACTATGACGATGACGAGATGAAACTCCGCTATTTGACAAATTTGATAAATAATTTTACTTCATCATTTAATTGACGAAAATGTGACGAAACGAAAAACTACATTACAAGTGACGATTATCACGTACCCCCCCGTCAGCTGTTCTAAAATCACTGTAATGTGTGGTGAGTGCAACAATGTGCAGCCTGGAGCCTGCAGGTCCGTGAAGCCCCGCCCCCTAGAGCTTCTGATAATAAAAATAAAAGCTCGCGTCTGATTTTGTTGACTAATTGACAAAATTAAATCAATAACAAATGAATAATATCTGACTCAATATAAAGGACATTTTCGTCAGGAGACTATGACTAAATGAGAAAATGGTGTGAAGATTAACACTGGTCACAACAGGATATCAAATGCTGGAGCTACAGACTTGAGGTTCACTGCACATTAGCCAGGTCAAACACAGCAGCTAGGTTACCATGGCAACCTTACCCCTTCTCCCTGAACCATCGCGCAACACTTACCGGGGGCATGCAATAATAACAAAGATCGTGTAAATGGTCATGCAGAGACATGCTCCTTTTTCTCAATGATACATTTCAGTGCAGAAATCATGTATTAGTGATTACTAGTGATTACACATGCCAACATTCTCTGTGGCATTCAACAACACATGAAATCACCTGGGTGAAATGCAAACCAAACTAAAACTATGGGCAAACAATTTGACTTACAGTGATGTGATAAGTGTGACTTTGTATGGAATCAGGAAGTGATTTCAAAATATGATTTCAACGCACAAAATGATGAAAAAGCATCAATCCTTAAAAGACCTTGTTTACATTACTGCGTGAGCTTAGTGCTCGTTTTAATGCATCGACACGCGCTTAGGTCTGCACGCTTAATGTCAAAGAAGCTTACAGTTAGCTGAGCGTTGTGGTGGGAAGCTGGAAAAACGACTAGCCCGGCTCTGTCCAGAGGAGCATTGATAGCCATGACTTTCTTATAACTTAGCAGTAAACTGAAATAACTTCATGGGCTATGTCATTATGCACTAATAGAAAACATTGCCTGCTAGGAGTGTTAGCGAACATGCCTTGGATCTTTCTTTTTCTTTAATCCAGAGTTGGAATCAGTCTAAACATTTTTATAAGAGGCTTTTTACAGAGCACAGATTATAGACACTCAAAAAAAAGTGTTGTAACATAAACACTTTTTAATACCTTTGGATCAACACGACTATCTCTAACTGTCCTATCCTTTGAGTCATAATGCAAAAATAAGCTAAGCTGAGCATTAGCTTTCCTAGCTTCATTCATATGAGAGTGATATGAAACTCTTGTGCTTTATTCTAATTATTCCTTTAATCATCAGAGTATTAATGACTTGATATTCATAAGCTGTGAAGGACTGTAATCAATCATACATCATTTTCGGTGTGTTAGCTTAACAGATCATCTTTCTTTAATAAAACAGGCATGCAGTGTAAGAACACGAGTGATCAAACTCTACCTACGATCAGATTAGTATTTGTTAACAGGACACACAATCTGTCGAGACAAGGAGGACTACCAGACAGACTACGAGACAGACGGATAAGACAGAGAGTAAATCTGATCACCTCAATGAGATTCCGGACGTGGGAATTGAGTGTGATCTGCGTCACAGAGATCACAGACACAGTTTGGGAGAGACATAAACACAAACGGGACATACAAACAAACAAAACAAATCAACATAAATAAAGACAAGGACAGTGAGTCTGGGGTCCATCGTTGTGTCAGCACAGCAAAAAAAAAAATTCAAATACAAACTTGCAACCAAAATAACAACAAAAGAGAGCACAACGGCGTACACAACGTTGTTAACAATGTGTTATAGAGAGGACGTGACATGCGTGATACGGTCATGCCGCTACGGTATTGAGGTTATACGGTCATGCTTACCAGCTTGAGAGAAAGCTTCATGGGAGGGGGGGGGGAGAGAAAGAAATGGCGAGGAGCAGGAGAGAGAAAGACACAACAGAAAACAGTCAGCATCAGAAGAATATCGCAGCTATTTGTTTCATCCTTCTTTAAATACAAATCATTCAGATGTAGCTTGTGTCAACGCTTGACTCTGCCAAACTTCACCATTCAAGGAAAAGACGGGAAAGCACTAAAAGGCTTAAGAACATGGATTTCTTTTTATGTGCTAGATGTGTCAAAAAAAAAGCTCTTTAAGTAAGAGTTTGAGCTTTAATACCTGCTCCCTTTTCCTTTGAGGTGAAGTTTAACATTTCTAATAGGGTGAATTAATGAAAAAATGAGAAACAAGTTTGCGAAAACAACGACCTACTGCGACAAGCACGGAGGAAAGAATGAGTCAAAAAACTAAGGGAAGACAGATGAGAGTAAATGTAAAGAAAGAAGAAGTAGGGAGTGTGGATGCAACAGGGACAGATGTGCCCTTTACTCCTTGGTACATCTCTGCTGTCATACAAAGAGAGGCAGCAGAGGGCACCAAAAGCACACATCAGTAGATCCAAACGTTGACATGGAGGCAGATGAAGACAAGCTGGAGAGACACTTTCAAAACCAAAACCAGACTATCCAAACTCCCTTTTTTTTAAAGAAGAAAATCCACACAGGCAAATATTGATCTCAAAGTAAAGTAGACTAACAAAGGCAGGAAATAAATGATAACTAAAAAGCAAGGGGAGACAAAAGAAATAGTCGTTTACAGGACTTGAGAGTTGTTTTTATTGAGAGGTTTTCTGTGAGGATGTGGTTATGTTTTCATCACAAAGAACAGAGTAGAGAGCATTTGAACACTCATCAGCTGGTGGAGCCGCAGCAGGTGACTTGTAATCCTGTTAGAGGCTCACAGGCTGGTGCACTGAGGTGGCTCTACTCACTTTAGTCCACTAATCGAGTCATCCACCTGGAATGGCCTGTTACAGTCTGCTCTACCTTGTGATCCACACTCTCACCTCCCCCACCTCTGTACTATTCCTACAGTCCCCTTGTGAGAAGCTTTACTTACAGAGCACCAAGAGTCATTTAAATCTTTCCTCTGTATTTATATATTCTGTAACTTTCTGTGAAAGTTGAGCTTTGTTTTTTGTTTCTATTGGGTCAGGTACAGACTCAGTGGATTTAGTTTGAGATGTTCTTCGGATAGGGTTAGTTATTGTCTACAGTTTAAAGTTACAGGGACAAATGCACATTCATGACGTTTCTGTAATGTGCCAGTTGAGCCAACATGGCTAATTTTCAACTGTGGGTCCCTGGGCAGGTGAGAGACAGAGCAAGAGACACACAAGGTACGTCATAACAGAGCAGCAACACTGCACACATAGTCCGGCACATATAAGGCACTTCATAGCAAGGACAACAATAGACTTCATAAAAAAAAAATAGACTCAAAAGGAACAATAATGTACATGTAGACCGACAAGAAAACTCCAGGGCACGACCTTTAACTCCTAAACTTCTTTAAGTTTGTGACAAGGTCATAGTAAGTCAAACATTAACAGCTTTGTCAAAGAGAAAAAAATCATTGCTATTGATGCCTTCTAAGTGTTTAGAAAGATGTATCGATGTAAGCCTAGTTTAAGAGAAATTATCTTCATTTGAAATCACTGTCCATGCATCTACATGAAGAATTAAGATTTACTCACAAAACATTTTCACATTTTAATAATGAATAAGCATCGCTGAGGTTTATAAATAAGGATAACTTTTCATTGTAATAAAATGATCCATGTCAGAGATTTGGGGTAAATTCTCCACCTACTGCGTTGAGTGCATACAGTATATTATGTCACCTGAGAGCAGCTCCTTTTTTGTAGCATTAAACGGCATGGTGCTGAATGTGTTTAGCTCTGTCGTGCCATCCCAGTGTGATTCTAAGAAGTTTGATAAATACCAGCCCCCTTATCCTCAGATGAACCTCAACTCCTTCCATCCCCCGGACAGACACAGATATACAGGTATATTTCAGCTCTTACAGACACAAAACACTGCTGCAGTATGGCACACTAGCACAAATAAAGCCCTGTAGGGGTGAATTCTGGGTAATGTTGGCTTAACCCAGACCCAAAGTGTGACCAACACCTCACCTTTTACTACATACGGCTTAGAGTGACATTTAATTAACCAGGAGAGGGCGATTGGAAGCTCGGATGATTAAGCATCCTCACACCCATAATCCCCCACTGCTTTAGGTGCTTGTGACACTTTGTGAATTGACCCCTTGTTGATGCTCGGTGAGGGGAAAGCCCTAAATCAGCTGCGGGGATGACGAGCAACAAGGAACCCTGAAGCGGATACATGTGATGTGGGATGAAGTCATCATCTCGTCAGAGCATTCGTCCAGATTTGACACGTGACAGGGCCATGTGATCAATTCTCAGAAAGACACACACACGCAGACACACACACACACACACACACACTGGCCTCCTTTGTGAGGAAAATTAGCCTCGTTAATTGTGGCGAACATCCTCATCTTAGAAACGGACGTCACACAACTCAATTTTTATTCATGAGGCTAGTGCATGTGCTGTACACGGCTTTTACTGACCCCAAACACATCCCGACGCATTCAATATTCATTCCCTCTCTCTTCCAACCCCATACCTGCTCACATACACACACACACGCCCATCACACACACACTTACAACATATTGCCTTGCTTCGAAAGCATATGTAGGTCGACCCAGAGTCCTCTTCATTAGCTCTTTGTTATTAATGAGCGAGCACGGGGATTGCTGCTGTGGTGGTTGTCGGAGAGAATACAGCTTCGTCAGTGAGATCAGCACCGACTCTCTTACAGCTCTTATACTCTACACGCTCTTAATTTGAACTCCTAAAACACACATGCCTTTCGCTTATTGCACAAGACACATACGCACGCACACATATATAGTTGCTGTGGATGGATGAGACAGCGAATATGCCCCACACTAAGGCTCTCCTGCAAGGGGGGGGTTGACATGCCTCCGCTGAGCAAGAGGACACAAAACACCACCTCCACTGGCACAACTAATGCGATCCTTAATGTGATACTATGTTCTCTTTGCAGGAGGTGGGAGGAATACAATCTAGTTTTCTTGATTAAACTCGATTTATATCATGTTTACCATCTGTTGATTGTTTACAAATCTTAAGCAGGGTTTACAAGCAAGGAATAGAATAAAAAAACATGATTCATTTGAGTTACAGATGAACATGAAATCCGACAATCTGGCCTGGTGTGTACAGTACTCCCCAGCAGGGTGGTACTAGCTCTTAATGATAAAGTAACTAAATTACCATTGCCTGGACTGTGATAAGTAAAAAAAAAAAAAAAAAAAAAAAACAAGAATGGATGGACTGATGAGTCGCCTTCCTTTTAGACAAAGAGCTTCAGCTGGTAACAATGAAACTCTGATCAAGTCATCTGATCACATTTTTCATTTAAAATGCATGTGGTCATGTGATGGCCAAAGACCTGGCACATTTCATATATTTTTTAAAAACGTTTTCAATCTCAAACAAAAACCTTCTAGTGATCCAGATTTTAAAATACCTTCCAAGACCTGCTGCTGATCAAACATTTTAATGAAGTGTCCCTTCTCAAAATGAGCATCGGTTCTGTATTACTGGACTGTGTTGTGAAAGTTAAGCCAGTTAGCTGGCTTTGAGGAGCTGTATCTAGGCCTGTTTGTGAAAGAGCCAAAGAATTAAAGTAAGCCGTTCAGAGGAATGAGTCCCAACTGTCTGAGTCAGTGCGGCACTAGGCTGCCGTCCTTAAAAGACTTGCTGTTGTTTTATCGGATTAACCATGCAACTTCTGCCTCCTTTTACTGACCTGTCAATATGCTAGTGTTGATCTAAACAGAAGCAAATGATGTGGTGAAGATGTACTCTAAATCAAACAACATCTATACACATGAAAACACGAACAAGCCTCTGCCATGAGACATGAATATATGTACAAGTTGATACAATGTGTTTTCATGAAGTAAGAATGAAGGTGTACAGATTGATTTTAAAAAAGGGATTTTTTTTTTTTCCTGCTGTGATAGTTTTTCTAACTTCTCATGGGCTCCAAAGACTTAATTTGACCTTTTTCATCTGCTCTAAATGTTACAGTAAGGTCACACTTCAATCTCTTGAAATCAAAAACAATGCATGTGATTTCACTCTTTTTGTTTTTTCTTCTTTATGGCTCTTCTCGAGAGCTGTTTCAGCACTTCCGCTTTTAGAAACGTGCAATTCCTGTTTGAAAAAATTACGCACTTCCCTTTTCTTCTGCCGACCTTCAATCATTTCCTCTACGATACGCTCGCTCAATGGGCAGTCGCACCCACAGTATTGTTCTTGCTCTGTGCCTTTTTCAGGCGTCATGTTAGCACTGATTCAAACTCTCTGCCTTGAGTAACTGCTGCCCTTTTAAAAATCAGAGTGAATACAAAAACTATATTTGTGGTCTCCGGAAGGAACACGTGAGTTACCGCCCATTCCTGAGGTCAGGGAGAGATGGAGGGTGTAACAGGAAAAGGTGCTCTGACCTGCCCCCCCGACCCAGTGACCCAAGTACGAACACACACTGGACTTGAGATCAGTTACTGGTGATGACACCCACCAGGACCCTGGTGCTGGTGCTGATTAAGCGTTTGCAGTTGCTGCTTCTATGGAAACAGTGATAAAGGAGTTCAGGAGGAATTTCACAATAAGTGCAGCTCTTAAAAAAGGGATCTAACTCGATGTTTTTTCCCTTTTTTTTTTACACTGAATCCGGAATCATCCCATACCCAGTGTTCACTTCACCCCTCGTTTTATCTGCAAAACAACAAAAGCAAACCGCCGCCTCCAGCATAGACTGCAGATGAAAAGTGCGCAGGGAGCATCTGCAGTCTCCATGCTAGTGCCAAGACTCTTAGGCGTCTTGCTAATCAAAGGGGGAAGTTGGGTAAGAGGAAGGGTTCTCATTGTGAGTACAGAGTTAATGTGAAGAATGAAGGGACATGATGGAGAGACTGTAGGTGAGTAAGACGTGTACCATGGATTTGTAGTTTTTTGCACTACATTAGCATGCTAGCGGAGCAAAAAAAGTCTGAGCACTGTATGAGTGAAGGTAAAAGGCCTCTTATGTTGCTGGTATTCACTGATTATACCACTAAAGGAGTTATACTGCAGATTTTCAAGGCAGTTCTGAACTGCAAGGTTTGGAAATAAAAGTGTGTAATGGCTCTGTTAACAATTGAGGTCACATTGCCTTCATACAGATGCTTTCAGTTACTTGGGTAATGATTATGATACCTTTTTCTGTTACTTCACCCATACAGTGCAGCAGGTTCACAGCTCAGATACAGGTGTAGAGACACACACGCACACATGCACAAAGCTAGCTGTTCACACACACTTACCCCTCGCCTCAGGCTCCGGAGGCAGTGCATTTTGGGTTTGGAGGCCATGAAGTCGTTGAGGCGGTGGGAGAGGGGCTCCTTTTGCTGCTTGGGAGATTGGGAGTCGTTGGGAACAGCAGAGGGTGAGGGCGGGGATGTGGCTGGGGGGGCAGGTGGGGGCTGGTGGGGGGACGTTAACAAGGACATAAGCTACCAGTAAGAGGGGGGGGAGCCATGACGGAGGGGAGGAAGAAAAAGGAGGAGGAAAACATGGAAGAAGAAGAAGAATAAAGGGGGCAAGAATCCAACGAAAAAGGAGGAAAAAAGGAGGGAACACAAAACGAAATAAATAAGCCTCCTACAAATATTAAAAAAGAAACACACAACAGAAAAAAACCCAAACAGAATGTAAAAGACAACCGAAGGAACGCCAAACCTTGTCAGTTGTTATGTTGTGGGAATGAAAAATTCAAACATATTAAAACATAAAAAAAACTGTTTAAACAAGGTGAACAGAAACAGAGTGAGTAGGAAGCGTAACATGTGTTAAAGCAAGCGTCTGCGACAAAGCGAACAGCAAAGAGTTTGAGTCAAAGCGCATGCAGGCGCTCGTTCCCCGACCTCGACACATGCCAGTTAGGACGAGAAATTCCCCATGTCCCCGAGGACATCAGCCGCTGGATTTTTAAGGTCATCATCACAGTTAGATTGAATTGCTTATTGTTGTCCTAAAAAAAATCTGACTGCATTATTCATCCCCAGTAGTGGACGAGTTAGGAGAATAAAGCAGCTCGCATGCACGTTCAAGTGATTTAGAAAGCCTTCTTACAAACACAAAGAGGGTGAAAAATCACTAAAATCCTTGATTTAGAGAGTCAGCAATAGTGCTTTTATACTTAATTTATGTTTCCGTTACATTTGCATGCAAGCGTAGAAATACCACCCTGCATCAGAGTAGTAATACCGCTGAAATGAATCCTGATCTGAATTAAGTGTGTAGTTTTGGGAGGTTGCACAATGTGGATTAAAATGAGTTCATACACCATTTTCTGTTGACATAAAGTACTCCGGGTTTCTCCTCTAGGATTGCACACACTTGCTTCCAGCCCTTCTTACCCACGCACTCTCAGTTACTCACTCATGCATTGCTCTATTTCACCACCAACAGTGCCAACAGCCCATAAGACAGTCAGAGATCAGTTTTTTTTCTGTTCAGAAGCAGGAAACTGAAGGAGCTCGAACACCAGGAAACTGTTATTTTAGATCAAGTTAATGTCTGCCAGTTGAACCCGTCCACAAGATAAAAGGTAGAAATGCATTAGTGTGTGTTACAGAAGAAGGGAGGCTCCCATTATTGGTGAGTGTGGATTGCCAGGGAGGGGGGGAATGCGTGGCTGCTAATAATAATAATAATAATAATAATAATAATAACAACAACAAAAATGGCAATAGTAACAATGAACTAGCAACACATTTCTTAACTTAAATTAACACAAAAAGGACATTTAAAACATAACCAGGGCTAGAAATGTAACAGATACATATGTGACACTGAACACATATATTTCTACAGTGTTGCAGGACACAACCAACATTACTTCAAGAAACCTCCCCCAAGTCTAAAGTGACCTCTAAGCGAGAAAAATCGTGTTAAAGCGGAAATGTCAGCCCACCATGGTGCGGCAGGTTCAGATGTGAATGTGTGCACTCGTGTGTTACCTTGTTCTTGTTCTTAATGAAAGGCCACAGTTTGCCCTTGCTCTTGCTGACAGGCTTCTCCTTTGTCTCTCTGGACAGGCTGGTCTCAGACGCCGTCCTCTTCATAGCCTGGCCGTAGTCCTCGAACTCCACATCACCGGGCGGCTCGAACCCGGACTTATAGGACTCCACTACCTGCTGCGAGTCCTAGTTGAGGGGGGAAGAGGGGTTGCAGAAATCAGCAACAGCTTCATTCTTGATTTATTTAGATAACACACCGCCCTCCTGCAATATGAACTCACTGTAGACTTAATAAAAAGCTTTTTAAATCACTAACAGCTATGTCAGCGAACTCATTTATTGAATACAAGTTTACAGTTTAATTTAATGTTGACAAAAAATAAATAAATTGAACTTAATTCATACTCTTCTTATATATTAAAGCACGTATGCCTAAATTGGCTCAGTTAGACAGCTAGTTAACAGGGTAATGGAAAAACAGCCATGATTTAAAAAATTTCAATTAGAGTTATCTGAACATATTAATGGGACGGTATTGAGAAATGCATGGAGACTGCATCTTCTGTTTGGATTTCCTGAATTAAGCCTTAAAAAAAAGTAGCATTTCTCCACCAAGACATGTTAGCAAGGCCGACATCATTTAAGTTTCATGTTCTTTGGACATGTTAACAGCCGAATCAGAATAAACACATTACTCTGGGTTTTAACAGACACATAGTCTCTTACCAGTTCACTCTTAGCTTTTTGTGTCCCAAACAAACTAACCATCAAACAGCTTGTAAAGCAGTTGTTTATCTCAGCATACACATCTGCATGTAAACAGGAATATTAGTGAACATGTTATTTACATTAGCCATGTAAATAACTTGTGTTTTCCGACTAAGGGCCATAACTAAAATATCTACTGTTACAATAAAACTGTTATACAGTAAGACATGCAGATGGACTATCGAGTTTAACAAAGGAAGAAAATGTGACCATATTGATTTCTTAGGGAATCTGGACTATTTCTCTTGGAGCTTCTCTTCCATCTTCCATCATCAGCCACTGACCACTGTATCTTAAGTGCAGCTGCAGGCTACTGGTAAGAAAGGCTGTCGGCTTGGAAGTGCGTTTTCTTTTGGCTTAGGACCCGTGCAATTAGGCGGGGGGGTTACTGATTCTGCTTTTATTATTTTGATAGAAATCGTTAAAAATTGTAACACCTTAATGCATTTTTATTTTACATATAAACTGAATAATTAAACAATGCAAAACAATGACTAATGGGGGATGTCTGTGTGTTTAGATTGACCGTCTAATCAGTACGCCAGGTGATAAGATGCAACACAATAGAGGCCTGGTGACTCTCTTCTTTATGGTAGTTTTTGACTGATGACAGTCCATGAGTTTGTCATGAAAGGAGACAGAGAGAGAGAGAGGGAGAGATAAAGAGAGACTGTCGTTTTCTATTTTGTGGGCCACTGAAGAAAGAGGAAAAGACCCAAATCTGTCAAGCGGGAGTTATGACAAAAACAGTGAACACAGCCAGGCTCAGAAACAGGAAGAAGAACATTAATCATGTGCAGTGTGCATCAGCCTATCTAAGCTGATAAGAGCCAGGGGGTCAAGAGATCCTGGGGTGTGCAATGTATACATGCGGCAAGCCAAGTTTGTCTATATAACACTACTCATAGATAGAGCAAATTTAAGAGCTTTACAGAGTTAAGAACAGGACATTAAGAACAATAAGATAATTAAAAGAAATATGATATTGAGAAGTCTCTGACAGGAAGAGAGACAGAGAGAGACTAAAGGAAGGAGCATGTGATGTGTTATTCTGTGCTGTTGTTTAGTGCTGCAGACAGTCACAGGATGGAGTCATCTCCCTGGAGCCGAGCCATGCACTCTTTCTCACACACAGACAGACACAAAGACACACACACACACACACACACACACACACACACACACACACAAACAGACGCACACAAAGACACACACACACACACAGACATACTCAAGCACACACATATACTATGCGATGCCTGAGGATAGTCTTGCTTTCTGTCATACGGCAGGCAGCCAACATGTGACATCTCAATATATCACACAGCTCGTTTTGTCTTTAAAGTGGCTAAATGCTGTCTTTTATTTTGAAATCAAAGTAATGAAACCGTAAACAGCCCTTTGATACGAGTGCATATCAACTCTGTGAAAGTGTATAAAACTTAAATAGACAAACGCTTGTTTAAAGCACAGGAAGTACGATTCAGCTTCCTCCTGTTTCTACAATGTGTACAAACATTTCTGGGAAATAGCATTACTCTCCTTCCAACAGAGCGTTGAATAACCAAATGTTCTAATAATCCTATCTGGCTGTTAAATATAAGGCTGTTACTTCAGGGGAAATAAATCATTTGTGCATGTGGAACTTATTTGTCATTTATTGTGGAGGGGGATGTTTTTTTACATCAGTCTTCTGAGTCCTTCTTTGGAAAATACAGCGTATGTGCTTCTACTAAAGCTTGACAGACATTTTGCTCTGTGCTGATATGGGCCTCATGCAGATATATATTTGTATCAGCCTGTGAGTTTTTCTGATGTACCGTAAAACTTAAAATAAAAGCCCATCTCCATTTAGGGCCCAGTCCTTTTTACTAGCCCGGTGCTGCTGCAAGTTATGACAAATAAAAGCAGGTCTCGATTAGATGCCCTGAGGCACTTATTGTTGAAATAGATCAAAAATAAGCAAAAAAAGAAGTGTAGCAAGTTAGCCTAGATGGGCTTGTCTTACAAAGCAAGATTGAAATAGTGATTTCTATTTTTTTTTTTTTACAATACACTGTAAAATAATCTTTCTGGTGTAAATTTATTATTTTATAGTCCTTCCTTTCTTTGCTGTGTACCAGTTTGGTTTAAAAATAGTTGAAGGCCTGTCTCATATTATTGCCGGTCACAAATAAAGGTAGGGTCATTTCATAGGCTGAAATAAATTAAAACCCAGGCCATTAATTGGAGTTTTACGGTATGCCAATTTAAAGGCTTTATATGCGATTTTTTGATCCAGCAGATGTCGCCCTTGAGCACCAGCATGAAACCAAAACAACGTGCGCTTCATTGTTGTGTTAGCATTTTAATGCTAGCGATCTTTATTATGCTCGTATCTTCACACTGCATGTAAATTTACCTGAAATTACCGTGATCTAGAAACGCTTACATGACATTCAGTTAAGCAGTGAGTACAGTTGTCGTTATTCTTTTCTCTAGTCCCTCAATTAAACAACTTTTATACGCGAGGGGATGCGCCGGCCGGCCGTCCTGGCGATGAAAACTCGGAAAGCATCACAGACAGTGGGACTCGGGCATTACACCCATTGTAAACAGTCATGACCCACAGAGTTATTTTAAGAGGATATACTTGATTTCTGCTCCATTTAAGTGTGAAAAATCGCATATTAAGCCTTTAACAGAACATACTGTATATGTGGAAAACAGTGCTCGAGGGGATTGAGTGCTCATGTCATCGAATAGTTTGTACATCTTTATAAGGTTATGTTTCTAAAAAGCTGCTTTGTGAGTACCTCTGCATATTTATAACAGTGCCAAATCTAGGAAAATTCACATAAAAAGCCATCTTTGAAATGCACTCAATCATTGATATTTCATTGCTCCCTTAAATCAGTATTATTATTGTTCTCAAAAATCAGAGTCTAGCTTATACCGCACAGGTTTTACAAGTATAAATGCTAAGGTCCACACACATACTGAATCATTCTTTTAAGCTACTCTCTTGGTTTACAACACCGTCCTCCCACAGAACTTTGTTGTTCACAGGTTAGCAGTTTTATTTTGAAAATACCCCCCAAAGAGTAACAACCCACTGCCACACTTGTGGGTCAAATGAAAGCCTAAACGGTATAGTGTGTGGGCTGTGACTGACACCCTGGCTGAGTGAGTAATGTGTCCCATATGGTGGTGTCTCTGTGTGTGTGTTTGTGTGTGTGCACATCTAGTTGTGTATACTCACAGTCTTGGGCTCGATGGACTCAGCTGCTTTCGTCATGCCGTCTAAACATTTCCCCACGATTGGCAGCACTTGGCGGTCCACGTCTGCAAACGTCTTCATGCACACTCCTATCCTCTCGATTCTTTTCTCCTCCATTTCTTGAAGTTTCTACATAAAAAGGAAGGCACAGTCATCTGTGAATACAAGGTTTCCTGGCTTGTGGCATTAAAAAAGTTTTACATTTAAAGGACTGAAAGGACTGTCATTCAATAATGAGCATCAAAGATCTGATATACTATCTGTAGTATGTAGTAAGTATAAATCTTGCTTAAAAAAAGCGAAGCAATAAAGGAGTGCATTTTGAACACAGCTTTTTATTAAGTCAATGATTAAAATGATCAGTCATGAAATCCAGGCTGACCTCATTGATTGTTTGAAGCCTAATTGTAAATGTAAAGGTTGACTCCTCTCTGGGGGGTGGGACAATATAACTACTCTGCAATATCTTGTTGTCCTCACTCGTGCTGGTGCTATATATCTATTGGCCTCATGACATGAATGGTGGACTTCATGACATGAATGAACATAATGTGAACTGAAGTTCATTGGCCAAAGAAGAAGTTGACAGCGGGATAAAATATCAAGAAAGCAAAAAATCCAAAGCGATGTACATCAGAGAGCAAGTACAACACAAGCTAGGATCTAGAACAGAGGAAACACCTTCATTAAGTGCAAAACGAACAGCTTTAAGTCCGATTGGAAAGACACATGCTGACAGGCAATGCACAGAGGTAAAGCACAACATCGACCACTGTATCCTATGGTGCGTTACACTGCGATTCCCACCCCGACTCTCCAGAAGAACTGCACTGTTATTTAAAAACGAGTAAAAACTAAGAATGAAATCACAAGTTTAAAACCCTTAACTGGAAAAAGAAAAAGAAGCATCAGCTGTAACTTTGTTGTGAGCAGCTAAATAAGATTAAACTAACATGAAGAGTCGGGGAAAGACATGGAGAAAGGTACTATTATTCTAGGTGTTTTAATGAACTATATCAACTCTTAACACCGGTGTGATTCATTTGGACGTACTGTGTTGAAATACCAAACAGCTTGTACAAAATAACTGCACTCTTCATAATGATGCATTTTTACCCATTAGAGGTTCCCGCATGTTCAGAGTGTATTTTTAGTCGTCGACCCAGAGGGGAGTGGGGGCGGTTGCATTGAATTCGCAGGCCAGCTAATGATTGCACATGAATGCACCATTCTGCCAGACCTCTCAATCTGTCTGCGCTTTCAGATGCATTTGCACGGGGCAGGTTGTGAAAGAGTGAAAAGATCAACACAAAACACCAAAAGAGATATATCTATGTTAGTCTGGTTGGCAACCCTAAATAAATCTGATGTATGGGAAACAATATTTACCCAAGAATTGTAGGTTTGTTTAACAACTTAAGTGCAGATATCTACAACGGCATGCGAGTGTGGGCCATATGTTGCCGAGCTGTCATATTTACCTGAAATATGTTGGGGATAACAGTGAAGTAATGTTCATTCTGCTCCTGGTTGAACTTTTGCAGGTAGGTGGAGTAATCGCTCTTACTGTCAGCCGCCATCTGGTGCCTCATCTGAGCTTGCTGTCGTGCCTGAAGAGAAAAAAAAACACAAACATGCACATCAGAGACTCGCTCACTTCACCAAACCTCAGTGGCTCCTTTTTAACACTGACATAAGGGTTACACATACACACACACAGCCAGAGCATAAATACCTACAAGAGTAGACACATTTGTGTGTAAGGGTGTTCGTGCGTGCACATGTATATAAACACATAAACACAGAGCCCTTGGTCACAGGTGCAAACCCGAGTCGGGCAGCTGCAGCAGTTATTAGCGTCAGACTTTACTGTAAGTAGGACAAACACATAAAAGGAGAAACAACAGGCTGCAGAATGGAGGGATTTGGATTTTGATTGCCCGCCCAGTCTGGCCTGTCTCTGCTGTCGATAATGTTGATTATTTTTAAGCTAGCTGAGACTCAGGGAGGAAAGGCAGGCAGTCAGAAACGCAGCAGGAGCAGCCTATTATAGATCCAAGGCAAGCAGATGGAGATGAGATTATCTCAGCTAGACAGCATGTGGGGTGTGTTTATGTGTACAGTGTTCATGTGTGTGTGTGTTTGTGTGTGTGTGTGTGTGTGTGTGTGTGTGTGTGTGTGTGTGTGTGTGTGTGTGTGTGTGTGTGTGTGTGTGTGTTCAGGTTGCAAAGTACTCATATCTGTTTCCTCTCTCCATCAGATCTGAAGTCTGTCCAGACATGAATAGTATTTTCATTGGGTCAGATTTAGCAAAGGGTGACCTTATGAACCCCTGACAGCATTTGGCAAATAAATGATATAGTTACACTGGAAATAAATAAACGCAGCCAAACTGCAAAGAGTCAAACTTAAGTAATATGAAATATCTTACATTTACATTTGTACTTGTGTTTTGTCTGACAAGATATTTCTTCTCTTGGAGTTTTTAAATAAGCGATTTCTCTTTTCACAATCTAATTTATCCTTAATTCTGTGAATAAGATAAAAACTTGTAAAATAAATTAATTTAACCTTGGATTAATGTCTCCAGGAAAACCATTGTCATTCTTTGCAAAAGTAAATCGAGTCAGAATTACTTTTTTTAAAGAAGAATATGGTTTTAAACTCCACGTATTGGAGTTTTTTTTTTTTTTTTATCCATTTCAAGACAATTAGAAAAGTGTTTTGATGTTAAATTGAAGCAAACTTTCCTGCGTGCGGAGAAAATGATGTTGTGTCTTCCCTTTGTAACAGACGAATGTGTTTTTGCACTAGATTTTACTGTTGGCTATTTGAGACATTTTTTACTCTCTTAAAAATTCTGTATGTATGTATCTGTTCTATTAGCAGATCATTTTGCTGATATGAGGTTGTATTTAGACTTTTTCATTGTCGTTTCTTTCTTGATTTAGGGGCTGACTTTATGCAGTGCATATGCTGGACAGTGGATAGTAGTGGGAACATAAAACCTGATCTGTCAGCGTCCTGGGGGAAACATTAAAAGGACTTCATCCAGTTTTCACCCACACACCAATCAGAGGCCGAGAGCAGAGTCTCCCACACTCACACACACACATGTGAGTAAGTAATAGATAGACATACTAGGGAGCAACAAAGAAGGCAGACATCAGAGCAGAGACACTTGTCAGACACAAAGGTATGTTATTTCCAGCATTGGGGGGCGGGCAGTTAATTCTTTGGTGGAAAATGATCGTCACAGTCTAAGAAATGTGAAATCCAGAGAAAATCTAAAAAGCACATGGGAAAGTCCAGCTGGTTAAAATCTACTGCATGCCTGTCTGTGAGCAGTGAGCGTGCAGTTGTGCATTGGTGGCTGTGCTTTGCGGAGTGAGTGCATGCAAAGTGTGTTGCATGTGTTTGGGCAATGATGAGGGTACACATTGTTGCCATGGTAACTTTGCAAGACAACAAAACCTTATAGCAAGCTGCTGAGCATGCAGCTGCATCACATCCTGTTGTCACTTCCTTTATAAAGATAGCTTTATTTTGTGTGTGTGTGTGTGTGTGTGTGTGTGTGTGTGTGTGTGTGTGTGTGTGTGTGTGTGTATATATCTATCATCTTTTCTTAGTTATTAAATTAGGCTTAAACTAATGATAATTTCCACATCTGAACTGACTGATTCTTTTCAGGATTAATTAATTGATAAGCTATGAAAGGTCACACAACTGTGAGATTTTTGATCACAACTTCCCAGAGCTTAAAGTGACGCCTTCAGATGTCTTCTCTTGTACAATAAAAGTTTTGAAACACGCATAAAAGGAAGTAAGTAATAACTTGAGAAGCTGGACACAGCTATTCTATTTATCATCAACATGATTGGAAATGATAATTTCTTTTCATAAATTCATATAGATTAGAATACCAATTGCGCCCTACTTTGCATCTTACTTTCTATCCTTGTACTTACGCAAGATTACGATGAAAGATGAACAAACTCTGAATGAAGGCTGGTATGAAAGCTGTCTTTTTACGCAACATATTCAGCATGTCTCTTATAGACTTCTTCTTACATCACACATATAACCCAACGAGACAAGGCCACTGTACGAGGAGCAGATCACAGAACCAGACAGGACAGGGCGTGTTAGCAGTGACCCGGGCAAGGCCGTGTGTGTCGGGACACGAGTCGAGACAGTGTGTGAGTTCCCACAGACACCACAGGCTCTCTCTCTCTGTGTGTCTGCTGGACCTACCTTGTGGGAACTTCGCTTCAAGGCGTGGCATTAAATAAATATACAAACACACAAAAACAAAAAGAGGATTGTTAGCCGTTTCCGGCTAAACAAGAAGTTGCCACAGATTCACTTCCTGGACCACCAGGCGTGTCATCACTCAAAAGGGGGCAGTTGGTATCAGAGAAAACAAACATAAACACAACTTACATGCCTGTTTAGTAAACCACGCTCTATTAGTAGAGGCAGAACAGAAGTGGAAAGGAGAGTGCCTTTTTTCATGCTCCACGTGTAAGTGTTTGTGTGTGTGTGTGTTTGTGTGTGTGTGCTGGGGGGCCTATAAAGAACAGGCTTTGTGGATATCATGGCTGTGAATGCAAACCACAAATTGAGGGATTTGTTTACCAGAAGAGGAGAGGGAACAGTAAAGTTAGAGGTTTTCTCCAGCTGCAGAGAAAACCGCAACACCTCAGCTTAACAAGAAACAGCTTTTTGAGCATCACATAAAAGACCGATTCTTCTCCTGGAGCTTGACAAACTATATCTTCGGCTGATTATTTCTAATTATTACTGACAAGTAGCTCAACTGAGAAAGCTAATTTATTCACTTGTTACATTTAGCTGTAGGATGCAAATGTACACGGACACATTTACGCCTATGATTAATCTAAATGCTCTTTTTTTGGTTATCTTTTCTTCATCTCTTTTCTGTCAAGCTTCAACTAAAACAAACACTCTTAGGTTATAATATTTCATCTCTCGCTCTAAATTGAGACACTCGATCTGTTCAAACAAACAAAAAAATCCGGCAATCTAAAAATGACAGTTTGGCTTTTGCTTAACTTTCAATATCACACAGCACAAAAACGTACTTGCATTTATATAAATGTAACTGTTACAACAAGCACATATCAAAATGATATGACGCATCGCAGCTGGAGTGACAAAACCACAGGACTCTAAATAAAAGAAACATATATAAATAAGACACACACACACCCACACAAACACACTTCCTTTCCCTTTTTTTATACAGCCACACCTTCACACACGTTTTCTAAACTCTCTCTAAAATCCCAGTAAGAAAGAACTGATAGTGCAGATACAGCATGGCACCAACCAATCAAGTACCTGTTAGAAAAAGAGACACTTAAGACAAGGATTTATCAATATGTGTGGGAAGAAAAATCCTCTGCAGTGAGTGATATGAGGGGATCTATTTTTTGTTCTCGAGATCTTTTTTTGTAAACAATTGAAATGTGAGTAAATGTGAAATAGAGAGTGGATGCTGGTCAAAGCTCACACAGAGAGGAAGAGCAAATAAGAAAGTTATTATTATATTTTTTAATAGATATTACTATATGTTTTAGCAGAATGTTACTCTGAAATACATCTGTATCCCTTGTGTGGATGGCGTTGTCTGCAGAACTATCTTATTGCATGGTGTGCCTGGGGATAATACAGGGAGTGATTCACATATATTGAAGTCAGTGTGAGTTATTGAAGGACAGTACAGATGGTTTACTTCCTTTCAAAAATGTAATCACAATGTTTACATTACTGCTTGCCATTATCCCAGTTAACAAAGGATATTTTTACCTTCCTTTCATCACTTAGCTTGTATCTGTTTTTCTACAGCTTGAACGATACGGATCACTATTTAGGAGGATTCCTTGGATGATGTTGATCATAACTCACAAAATGGTAAACATTCAAAATACTCACAGGCTGCAACTTTCCTTTCATGTTAAACTCGGGGCGAGGAAACAAACTGCTGTTATCAAAGGAATAAAGTCATATCGTGGTGTCCCGGGTTTAAAGTCAAACACAAACAGGGACTCCACAAAATGTCAATCCTTTTCCAACACTCACGATCGATGGGTAAATTATAAGATAACTGAAAGTAAAAATCCAGGGGGGGATGGGGCGCCAGTGGAGTAGGTGTTAGTTTGCATGCCCTATGTACAGATGCTGTAGTCTTTAAAGTGGGTGACCTGTGGCTCCTTGCACTCTCTCTTTCGCTCTCTCTCCCTAATTTCCCACTCTATCCACTTTCCTGTCAGTCCAATAAAGGCATAAAAAGCCCCCAGAAAAAAAGAATCCAGATACATTTTGGGCCATATAACAAGTAAGAATAACATTTATAATGATCCATTACTTTGAAAAGATAACATCTAACGTTAGTATTCAACCTTTTTCTAGCTAACATTGTTGGATCCTGTGTTTGATGTCAGAGGAAAACTGCCACACTTCTGATTCTAGATTATTATAAGTCTTCAGGAAAACACAAAAAATTCCAAGGAATTATAAGAGGCATGTTTAAGAGTGAGTTATTTCTTAAAGCTTCAAATAAACCCATTCCACGATTGTAGTATGTGTCATAACAACTTATCCCCATTTATTTAAGAGAATTGGAAAGCAGTGAAAGGGAAAACTTGGTTAAGTATCAAGAGTCTCTTCAAGATTTCCAAATAGACTTCAGTTCAGTCAAAACTATTTCCAAATCTCTACAAAAGAAAATGTTGATTTATTTTCTTTGAAAAGTAAAAAAATAAAAAATAAAGTACGGCACTAAGAAAATCTGGACTTCTAAAGCATGATGTGCTCCTTCAATTTGGTACATTCTAGCTAAACAGTAAGCTATCCGAGCAGCATTTAAACCCCAACAGAGACCAGCTCAGTTTGAATTTTAGTGAGATAAGCAGCACAAGTTTTAACAACAAAAAACTATGTCTCCTTGAAGGGTTGAGTGGGATCTTTTTTTAAGAATCTGGTGTATTAAAGATCTGTTTACAGTATCGCTTTACACAAACATTGATAATAACTAAATGAAGCACTGAATTATGTGTGATGGATGAGCCTTTCATGCTCTAATAAAGATCATATTTGTGCTTAGACACAACGGCACTCTTGTTTCCTTGCTAGTTTCTTGACTTGCTGTTCCGGCTCTTTCCGGTTGAGTTCGGTGTTAAGCCCATTGTAGCCCTTTGGCTGTGCGTCCAGAGTGCAGAAAGACTCTTTCTTTCGGCCTATATTTGCATAATAATCGGGTCTGAACTGTGTCAACTCTGAGCCTGGGCTCTGCTCCAACAGCTGATGAAGCAGCAGGAGCATGCGCTGCTGACCCATGATGCCTTGCGAACAGGGAGCTGTGTGGGTTACAGGCTGAAATTTTGAGGCCTAATTTAATTGGTTATGACAACAGGAAATGACATCAGCTTCATGCCTGGAGGGGCTCTGGTGTACACGTCTTTAGGAATCTAATGAGCGAGGCATGTTTCTAATTATTAAAGAGGGCATATAAGTGTAAAATTTCACTTTAGATTCTTGTTATATAAAAGAAAATGGAAAAGACAAGACATTATCCACACGCTAAAAACAAAAGCAAACACAACCATAGACACACAGTCCTCTCTGTTGCTACGGCCCAAACAGCCCAGCAGCTTGTTTGGTGGCTTTTTAACAACGATAATGAGGACTTGCTGCTGCTAGCAGCTTTGTGTAGCAGCACATCACTGTTCTGCAGAGACAAAGCCAGCGTTTACACACTGTTCCTGGCATCAAACACATGGTCACTTAATCTTTGCTCTCTTTCTTTCCGTGGAAGGAGGAATCAGGACTAAAGGGGGAGAAAGTAAAACAAAATAGCGAAAGAAATGGGATTGTGCTTGCTTGGTGGATGGGTGAGGAAGGCCAGGCATCTGTGTTAAACATGGAGGGTATAGGACAAGCTGGCGTGTTCAGTGGCTGCTTCTGAGACTGAGATGACACATACCTTTTCCACGTCAGCCTTAGTCACGTTGATGTCAGCATCCATCTTCTCAAAGTATTGCTGCGCTCTGTCTGCCTCTTTGCAGTCCCTCTCAAACCTTCTTTTACTCTGAAAAACCCCCACAAAAAAACAAATTATATTCAAACAAAGACATCACAGCAGGAAGCACTATATAGCTTGACCTTCAAATTAGCATGGTAATGAACGTCATAACATGTGAATATACGTCATGTCAGTTTCAGACGCAGCATTGTGTGCGGCAGAGGTCAGTGTATGCCAATGACACAGCCACGGGGTTTGTCAAAGTCTGCAGCCTGCAGATTAAACAAATGTTCATAGTGGTCATTTGTGTACAGAAAAACAACCATTCATCCAACCCTCTTTCGACCCCTCAAACTGAACAATCAGTGTTTGTTGGGCCAGCGTGCACTCTGAACTGTGCCTATCTGCCTCACACACAATGGGATCATTGAACGGGCAGTGAAGTTTGAGGAGGACAAGGCAGTTATGCATCCCTCTCACACTCTTTCTCTCCACCGTCAAAGGGGCCAGGCAGAGATAAGGAGTGGTGTGCTGTGCAATCTCTATGTTAGCTCCTGTACTTAAACAAATAAAACAATCCTTATCTCCTTTAGCTAGGGATTTTTAGAATAAAAAAAATTATTTAAGGCTTTCCTGCTGTTTAGTTTAGGTGAAAGTTTTTTTCTTTATTTCTCATGCAGTATTTGTAACAGACCTTACTCTCAGATACTATTCTAGGAGAGGATACCAGAAACCACGCTTTGGCCCATTCACTAAAGAAAGCATGAGACTGGAGCCAACATAATTTGTCCGTTATTGTTTTTACTTTTGTTCTACTGTGTGTTTGTTTGACTGTTTCCTACAACTATTGTATTTCTTCATCAGACTTGGGTCAACATACAACTAGTGATGCATTGTCATCACAATTTAACATATTGTATTTCATACTTCCTTCTTTAAAAAAAAAAAGTCTATCCTTAGATTGACTCGTTTTGTCAATCTATGTGCTTGTGTTTTTTCAAGTGCAAATGTATAGAAGTTTGAGTTGGCTATTTGTTTCAAATGTGCAAACTTAATGGACTAGGGTTCCTTGCTGTAATTTCCTCCTGATAAAAGAGGCTGTCCTCATCCAGATCTTATTACTGCTGTAACTCTGTTTATTGAAAAATAAGTTCTTCATTGTTTAAGAAACCATTTTGGGATCCCTCAGGGTGTAATGCTCGGCCCTCTACTGATGTTTCTTTTTATCTAGGTAGCACTTACCCTACAAAAACTAAGTTTTATATCTTTACTAAGGTTGGGTTAAAATAGCCTGCTTTAATTTGGCAAAATACCTGCATTAATTAGCTATGAAGCTAGGAGATCAATCAATACACCTCTAGATTTTCTTTTACTTCTTATACAGATTTAGCGCAGGTAAAGTTATCAAATCTCTCATTTTCTTATTTCACTGACCGGAAATTATAGAAACTGCACTCATAAAGGTCATAAATGTCAAAATGAAACTGCTGTAGGGCTGCTTACTTATAATTGCACTTTCTGCAAGCCGATATCTATTCTCAGCTGAAAGTTTATTTTGAGAGAAGAAATAGATATCTCTTTGTAACAATGCTCTATGACTGCAAACGGACTGTGTTTTGCAGTTCAAAAGCCTGTTAAGAATGTAATATTTTGTCGAGTTGATATTTTGATATGTAAAAGTTACAAATTTATATAACTGTTATACAACTTTTCCAGATTGGAGATTCATTTATTAAATACGATTGAATAAATATTAACTGATAGTTCCCATTACCTATGTCATATGCCTCATAATTTGGTGCAGTAAATAAATACATTTTTTAAGTTCTTGAATAATTCAAAAAGTCTAAACTCCTAATGTACTGTATGTTAATGTTTTGATATTTAGTCTTGAGATAAGTCTGCACTGGATCAGAGTGATAGAATATCTGAACTGCAGGAGTTAGTCATGAGGTAATTGCTTATAAAATTATGTTATAATGTCCTAATTTTGCCTTCTCTGACTGTAACAACTGTAACCAGCTGATATTAGTGTACAATTTGAGGTAATGCACATCAATCAGTTAACTTACCGATTCCAGCTGTTTCCATGAGCTCTCAACATGCTGCTGTGCCTTACGCCCATCATGGAAATGCTGCGAGAAAGAGGAAAAATACAATATTATCACACTGTTCAGAAGCTCAAAGGATTTAAACAGGTGAACCTGCCCTTGACATAGTCAGATTGATAAATTAGAAGCAGCTGGAACACATTAAACATTATGATTATTACTCATACAGGGAAGGGGAAGTATTAGTGTTAACTGGGAAAGTAGGGCAAATACTGTAGCTGCATTAAAATTATGACCATATAACCCTCAAGCTTAACTGTTTGAGATCTGTCAAAGCTCAAGCAAATGGCTTTAAGTCTATTTGATTACAGATCCACCAGATTGTGGCCCCAATAGTTCCCCACATGTGCACCCAAGCTGTTGACTTTCCAGCTCTACTGTAGAGAAGATAATGACTTCAACATACTGTGTATTAAGCACTAATACTAAAATCAACAGAGTGGCTGAATAAAAAGTAGAAAGCTAAATAAAACTGAAATGTCAAACTAACTGTGGATAACTAAACTATGACAACCAACAAAAAAAATTGTGGTCAAGTGAAACTGGGGCTGTTTTTAAGCTGCTGCAAAGTCACATGTTGAGCACAGAACAGTGTGACAAAGGCTTCTTGCAAGGCAAAATGTGCAAGATGCAAGAAATTTTTTTGTATCACAGTAAAATAAGAGGGCAAACATAGATACTAACGCACGGTCATTGTTAACACTGTTGTTGGATGAAGCAGACATTCCTATGGTTTAAACCTGTTACATTGACACTATCAATTTCTTTTGTCAGGCTCTTTTTTCATTAGTTCAGACATTTTTTTTTAAATTTAAAAAAACATCCACATTTGATATACGCCACAGGTAAGTAAATGCATTCGGGAAAATATCAGCAACATGGCAGTTACAACTGGAATAAGAGAAGATGCTGGAATAAGATGAAGAGAAAGGCTCACTATGAAGAAGGGATTTTATATGGGGATGAACTGAGCTTCAGTGAACATACCATGAGAAGAAAATGCAGCCAGATATTGTTATCGAGGGGGGGACACAGACAGGTCATAAAGGGTTTTCACCGATGCCAAGGGTGGTATATTAGACCATGACAGCTGCATGTCTGAACTTATACAGCACAGTATATACACACAGTGTGCTGTGTATTTTTGTAAACAGCCCACTTGGCCTATATCCCTGTATGGGACTGGCACACTTGGCCCAGAGGCAGAGCTCATCTCTGTACAGCTCAATGTGTGGGTAAGTGCCAGATCCCCTGGAAACATAGAGCATAGACTGTAAATTGGTGTTGTTCAAAAATAGATTCTTATTACTAATCTATTTTAGGTGTACAATTTTATTTTTTTATTGCCTGCAGTCATGTTAATTTGCTAAAGGAACCTGAAAAAGTCCAATTCAAATGAAAACAGATACAAGACACTTGACTATCAATGAGGTAACCCCTGGTTTCAGAGACTGTGGAAGTAGCTGAGCTGAATATCGATGCTGCTATTCAATAACAGACCCAGGCTATTATACTGAATAGAAAGATAGTGCTTGTACGTTTCTTGCGATTCATCGCTTTAGATGGCACAAGACTACTTTGTTTTTTTGTGCTTAGTTTCTCGCACAAGCAAGTGATGTGAAATTAACACGAACTGAAATGTCATCTCACCTGAAGCACAGAGAACAAAAGAGTAGTTAGTGAGAATGTGTCCTGGTTCACCTCTGTGAGTCGCACTTCTCTTTTCCCAAAGGGAAGCTTAGATTCAAAAAAGGAAGTGCTCCAGTGTTTCAGAGGAAGTATTTGAGTTCTAACAGAAAACGGGACAATGTAGAGTCCAGTTGAAGCGATGTGTAAAGAGGCAATGTGGTATTTTTTCAACTGCCGTAAAAAAACCCTGACCTTCAAATTACTGTTTGATGAGATTCAACGATGATCTGTTTCAAAAATGTCTCACTAAATGTTGATACGATCCAGAGAAGATAACACAAAGGCCTTCTGAAGCATCACACAGAACCACACTGGGTGACCTCAGTGTTGCTGTGCACATACTTTCAGCCAAATATTTGTCTCCATAACAACATCTGAAAAAAAAAAAAAAAAAAAAAACATCTCCTGCTGGCTGCGTGAACAAATCTTCCATTGCTACGAAGATAAACAAACTAAACTGACACTCTTCCCCAAACACCTCCAGCAGATTCTCAAATATCTCTGACGAAGAATGAAGATGAAGCGACTACATTAAAACATGAGCTCATTCACCTTCAAACATGTTAAAAAACGAGAGTGCGTCAACACACATCTGTGATGCAGGTTCAAAGCTGATGCTATTTATGCAGATGTTCAGCAGTGTTTATATCAACAGACTGGAGAGACACATATATAAATATCCCAAATGTTAAACCGACAAAGGGTAATCACACGTTGTCCTTAATGTCCCTCTGAGTAACAGCATGAATGCAGGCTATGCTAAAGACATCTGTGGTACTTCAACAGGTCGCTAACTGGTAGCTGCCACTCTTGAGCTTTTTTCACATATGCACTCGTTAAAATTTCTAGATATGTTAAGGACAGCCTGCCCTGAAATTTTCCCAAAGTTATTATTCACACATCCCTCAAAGCAATGAAGATTTCCCTGTCAGACAAGAGATTGGGTCTGAGGAGGAAGGAAATAACGTAAAAAAGGACACTGCAGTTGCTATGTTTACAAGATATCCAACCTGGCGGGCGACAGCAGAGTCCAGACCGAGTGGATGCGAGACAGACATGTACTGATTGGGCTGAGGGAGACTGAGATTCTGTGTGACTCACAGGCGTCCCTCCACACATACGTTCAAATTAAAGTCTTCCACAACGCTCTGATAGAGTGACAGAAAAAAATATTTCAAGGAAACTAGTTTTTGAGGTTTCAAGCAATCTCCCTGACATTTGAAAATACAAAATTTAACATTGAAGGATTTCAGTCAGCAGCAGCTGAGCTCTCAGCCTTTGAAACCCAACATGAAAGCAATGGATGTCAAACTTCTTTTAATTAGTGTATTTACCAGTTTTGATCATCAGGTCGGTTTTTGAAAAGGGGGGACTTCTTAGGGAATCTTAACTTAAAAACAACTTGTGGCTACAGCCCTTGTAGCGCAGGATGCAGTTTCAAATCCCAAAACTGAAACTGTTTGGTGTCACCCCTCCCCCCCCCCCTCCTTTCTCAACCTGTCCTGTCTCTCTACCTCTGTCTATTCAAATAAAGGCCAAAAAATCCCCCAAAATGATCTTTAAAAAAACAAAGTAGAGCTCTTAGCAACAGGCTGGTGTCAACTCAGCTTGCACACCCTCCTGATGTCCTGTTGTGTTAAACTGACTCAGGACAAACGGAGAAAGAAAGGAAATCAACAACCTTTTGCAATCAAACTTTTCGCTCCAGCACAACATTTGCCCCTTGCAGTTCACTCATGTGAGGGGCTACACATGTATATTCCTGCACACACACAAGCTTTAGGTGATCTGTTAGTCATTCATTGCAGTGACTTGGCTCGTAGGAATGTGCACCTGCACTCCTGCACAGTTGTCAGCACACATATAATCATACGATACTACAAATAGCCACAAGTCGTACGGGATCTAGAGACTAGAGAGATTATAAAACCTCATGAGACTCCTCTCCTCAAGCCAAGACCATTAGAAATAAAAGGAGTGATATTACATTGTGGATTCAGATGCAGCTATGGAAAGATCCAATTCTTCCTCACTGCTTCCTGTTTGTCTTTCCACTCAGCAAAGGAAGGCATGTGAGTGCCTCTCCAGAGAGACACATTGTTCTTTCACTGTTACACCATGGCAGCATCTCTCCTCTGCCTCCTCGAGATAAATGAGCGCACGATCCTCCGCCAAACCCACCTACAGAGGGTTTATAGTGCATTGTGGTTTCCAGCTGACTTTCCAGTAAATGTGCTGCTTACTTTTCAGCCCTGACAGCTGAATAAAATGTATCCTTTTTCACTTTTTTTGTCACAACCTTGGCAGTCGGATAAGTATACTGTTAGTATACTCCCCCTGTCAGATGTAACCACGTGCTTTGCTGTGGGTTTAAGTGGATACAAAAGAGGACACTCTGAACTAACCTTCACTAACACGTGTTGATATGCGCTGTAAATAATGTCGAGTGACATTTATAAGCTTGACAGTGAATGGGCTGTCTCTGCAGAGTATGAGGGTCTTCATTAGACCTTATTAGAGATGATACCGATAAGCCCTGTGATCAGGACAGCAGTATGCTGACTGAACACCTTATGATGATTCCTCAGCACAATCCCAATCCACTGAGACACATATGCTCTTCATCCCACATTAACCCTGTTTTCTCCTCATCACTGCCAATTATAGTATTTGGCGATAAACAAACGGCTGCCATTTTTTTGAGCTTCTGAAACATTTTAATCTTTTCATTTCTGTGCCTTTAAACTGACAAAAACTAGGCCCCCCTTCTTTAAAAACAACTACAGACTGCTCTCAAATAAAAATCCTTTAAGGCAACATTCTTGGCCTCACCTAGCTGCCACCCCAAGCTGTGCTTAGCGAGAGGTTCACTCAGGGAAACGGCGAGGAAGAAAGGCAGTTGGGCACAGTTGCATAACAACCCCACATAAAAAACTAATGAGGTATTATTCTTTTTCTCCTTCTCGTTTTGTTGGAAAGGATTTTACCTGACTAATAAGCTTCCTGTAAATAAAGGAGGGGAACGACTTGACCCTTCCCTTCTAATCCAGCTGTCTGGGTCTGCGGCAGCTGTGTCTGACATGAAGACACATTTTAAAAAGCACAAAGTGGTGCTCAAAAGGAGAGAAGACTGACGATAGGGAGGTCTTTTCTGACTACTTTCATCTACAAAGATGACTCTTTTTTTTTTTTTTTTTTCTTTTACTGACACTCTACTAATGTGAAAAGGGGAATTCCTTTGTTTTAAAAAAAGGCTCTACTTTTATTTTTTTGCTGCTAAAAGACTAAAATTAATGTTATTTGTATCCATTGTGCGAACAATGAAGTTATTATAATCATTTTATTTTTTATCTCTCCTGTATGGGAACATCTTTACAGCATTATTTTAAAAATTGACGAGAGACATGGAATATGTTTGTGCTTAACCTAACACAACAAACACAAATTGCAAAAAATATATATAATAATACATGACTAACAGGTTCAAAGTAACTCTCTTACAAAAAGGTCTAACTTAATAGGAACCCAGTCTGTAATATGATCAGACATTTTCAAACACTATCTGAGCCTGTAAGTGTCAAAAGAACTACTGTATATCCTCATTAACATGCTTTGATCAGACACCAGATAAGATTACATTGCAGCCGTCACACCATCACAGCCACAGGCTGAAGCAATCTACAGAAGCAATCCAAACCTTTTTTGTATAAATTACTCATCTATACAACAATATATGTGTAAAAAAAATAAGTTGTAGTGAAGATAGTTGAATTCCCTTTAAGGACAGGCACAATAAATCCTGACCAATTTTTGATGGTCTTTTTAGTTGTAGCTTGAGGTTGCTGTTAGAAGCCTTTTCAATACTTCCCAACATCCCAAAGAGTATCATTCTCCTTCATTCATGGGTGTGTTAAAAGCACAAGTGTGTCTTGAATAAAAACTGGGGAGAAAAAGAAAGACTGTATTCACCCTACGAGGACACTGTTCTGATTCAGAAACTATTTATCAAAGCTGTTAGCTGAAACGATCCTCTGTTCTGAAAAGATACTGTGAAAAAAAATAGATATCATGGAACAAAGGGAAATCCCCCATACACTGAATAACAAATAAATAAAACACTACTCTGTGAGCTTATTTAAGAGAGGCAAACACATGACAAGCATTCATGATATGAGCTGCTGAAAAACTTGATGTTACAAGTGGACTCTGTGCAGAGATAGTAAAGAACAGGTGACAGAAAACAAGATGCTTATAGTTAAAAAAAGAGGAAAAGAAGAGGAAGTGTGCAGAGAAATGAAGAGGAAGAGCGGTGTCAGAGTGACATCCTGCAGCGATGGAGGAGCAGGGGTCTGTCTATCTGGACACTAGAGAGAGAGATAATATGCCAAGCCGGGCTTTATCAGCGCCAAGAGGGGGAAACAGGCCTGCAGGGGGTTGATGATTCCCCTTCAGACTCGCTGGGAATCCCCTTCTCACTGCATTAAAGCCAGCTCTAAAATCACAACATATCTGCACATCCTGTATTTCAGTCGAGCAGCAAATGCAGCAAGAGTGCATTTGAACATCAACTCTGAAAAGAAAAGGTCACTGTGCCTTTGAGGAGAGCCGTCTGGTTTTGGGTTTTTCCACTCTAGTTCCCTCAGCTGGACTGCAGTGACACAAGAGTCCATGACAGATTTTTTACTAAGTATTTTTTTTTTCCATCTGGCTAGTTTTCCTCTCTCTCTTCAACCACCAACTCTTTCAATTTCACGCACACCACACCACACTGTTATCTATGAATCTATGTGCTGCACGTCCACCACAGAGCCAAATCATTTTTAACAGCAAAAAGAAAGTAGCACCAGTGTTTAAGAATAGTGTGTCGCGCAGCAACACACTAGTCGGTTTAAAAAAAGGAGAAATAGGCGCGTGAAGATACAGATACAGAGGGGATAACATTGCTCCATAAAAAGGACCCAGTCGGTCAAGTTTTGCTCTTCTGGGGAGCCTTTGGGTATTTCTATATTTACTCAGCGATGACCTCAGTTGGAGCAGAGTATGCAGAGGAAACTGGTTGCTTAATTTCTTATAGGCCAGTTTTCCCTTTAAAAAACTCCATGTCCTACTGACTAAAGTGAACGTGTCATTTAAAGCACAGACATGTGGAGAATGACAGAAGGTAAGAAATCAGACGCTGGATATGTAAAGGTTTCTTACCGATTTTCTCTCGGCCTTGAGCTCCGCTAAGTAGCGCGAAAGCTCGCTGATGATTTGAGATGTCAAGTTCTCGGCTATGACTTCGTGCTGACCCGCGTAGTCATTTAGCTCGTTGAGTGTCGTCAGGAAGGCTCGACAGAAGGTGTACCTGCGGACATACAATGAGTGATGTCAGAGGACTAACAGTTCAGTTGCCAACAGTTAACAGATTTATGTGAAATGAAAAACATGAGAAGATAAGATAAGATAACACTTTATTGATCCCCAGAAGGGAAATTTGGGACACTGGAACAGACAAGTAACCTATTAATTCTACATGGCCAATTTCATTTCCATAGGTCTATCTATAATTCTCTATTTTATAATCTTTTAGGATTCATGACTGAATGTAGAAATTACAGAGACTTGAAACTAATAAGAAACAAGAGATCTGTGCACGCCATTTAATGAGTTTTAGTTGACTGTTGTGCCATTGAGTCCATTTTTTTACTCCTTTTTTTGAATTCCTTTTTAACCTTTTTCTTAACCTTTTTCATACTGTGTAAACTTATGAACAATACATACAGGCTTTTATACACCAATACACCTTACAGCGATCTAAAAATGATTCATTGTTACATTTCTGGGATAAATTGTTGAACTCACTTGCTCTCTTCCTCTTCTCGTGAGTTCTTCTTAGGTTGATACTTCTTTGATAAATTCCTGTGAAAACAAAAGAGTTCAGCTTAGTCAGACATGTCTTACAGAATCTATCCTAACAGCATCGTCTGCAAACCAGATAGTGCACCATTCCCATTAAGTTTCCCTGACTGTGCCCCTATGGGCCTGCCAAAGGATCATCCAGTACACCATTCAATCCAGCAGAGTGCTATCTGCTCCTGCTACTTCATCCCCCCGCCCCTCCCTCTCCTCTCTTCAGGTCATAAATCATCGCCTCCAGGAGCGTGCATGCAGAAGCAGTCACCAGAAACAAGCATCTTGTGCAGCCGCTGCCCTTGTTACGACTCCGGCTGGATGTTAATGGCACGAGATGAGGGCAGGATAAATTAGTCGTGTAGTATAGAGTTGTGTATGGAGTCACTCCGGGTTATATTATGGTTCGACAATCTTTCAGTGTCATTCTGTTGTGTTCTTTGTCAGGCAACAGTTCATCGTGTCATGTTTGTTTCATCATGAACGACCAACTGTGCTCTGTTTGATGGATACTCTGTCAACTGAACGTAATAACCTGCACTATTTTTAGATTTGGATGTGCCTATGTTACACAAAAGATGAGCTGTGTATTCAGACCAAGAGCAAAGCCAGATCTCACCTCGCATCACTCCTGATCTTGAGAAGAAATACTGGCCCTTTTAGACAGATGAGAAAACCAAACTTGTGGCTCTTACAATGATCTTGTTTTATGTATAAAAACAGACTTTCCTGTGCTGTTTTTGGATAAACAGGTCGGAAGAATGCAGAAATTTCAACTTCATGATGCAGATTTGTAAAAAGTTCAACTACAAGCTTTCATGGTTCTGTCCACAGAAAACACAAGCAAACAGCTTTCAGAATACTTTGTTTTAATAAATGCCAAATCCATAGAGGTGGGGCAAATTATCGACACAGCGGTTAATCATCGTCCTGACTCGTGCGGTCAGGACGACTCACTGGTGTCAAATATTGATGTCTTAATCTTAAAAAATACAGAACACTAAAGAGATTTTTTGTGGCAATTTGGATTCACGGCATCACTACATCATTACTCCTCACTGTGGGGCTTATGAGTCAACGAGGGAGTTAGTGGATGTTTGTCTTGTAATTTATGAATTATCCCAGAATCTTGTATCATTGTTTTCATGTGGCCACAAATCGTTTTCAAGTTATTGTTTCATTTTTAAGTATTATGTACCTACGCTTATAAGTCAGTCTATTTATTTTGAGACAAATTCAACTACGTGGTCATGGTCATTAGTCGCACATTCTCAAACACCAAATACACCAGCCCACTTATCATGTCAGAATGAAACTGGCTACTGTGAAAAAATGTCAAATTCTTCATTAGGACAAAGTGTTAAAAGAAGCAGTTGTTGCTGCCTTTAGTGTAAAATTAACAGCACTACATTCACTGATGGAATCTAAATACCTCAGTGTATACATGGGATTAAGGGCCGTGCAAAATTCCTGCTGAAATAATTAATGCATGCTTTAAATAAAACACATGTAATGTGTGTCTGCACTCCATCTAGATTGCCCTCTGCTAACATAAACCCCCCCACCCACCCACCCCCACACATCTACTCCCTAGTGGTGTTTGCACTGTTGCCAGGCAGATATCGGTCTATCTCATCCTTCTCACTCCACCTCTAATAATAGTGCTGGCTCCCACTCACTCATTCATTCACACATGTCGAATGTCAGACTGTTTCCCCACTGACCCCGATAAAAAAAAAAAAAAAAAAAACATAAAATAAGGGTAGCAGCTATCACTTAGTTAGAAAGATTCAACGTGCAGGCTTATGTTCACGCCTGTGTGTCTGATCGTGACTTTTTGTGTTTGCCTGGAGGGTAAACCTCGTGCATTAGCACCCCCGGGAAAGACAACCTCTTTTTCACCCTCAACTAGTCTCTTTTGTGAGCAGGACTTTATTCCCACTCTTTTATGGATTGTGGCTGACTAGAATTTGGGTGAGGAGACGGAGGAGGAGGCATTAATGCATTTCCCTGCTAGGACTAGACTGAAGCATTGTGCATGTTTACACCAATAAAGGGGATGAGGATTATTCCAGGATTAGTGCAGTGTGTGGTTGTTATGGTGATAGAAATGGTACAAAGTGGAGGAATAGTACAGATGATGTTCAATTGGAAAGGAATTGGCTATTTGATGCAGTTCATGATGAAAGGTTTTTGTAAATGTAGGGCAGGTTTATATTTCGAAAGTTGTCTACTATTACTGTTTGTACATTGTCCAGATAACTGATATCTTTAATATAACTTCTGGTGAAGTTTTCATGCTAACAAAGCCTTTCAGTTAAGTTGAACTGGATCGAATTGAATTGTGTCAACTATTGAACATAACTTCTATACTGTAGCTGCCAATCAATTATTTTTATCCACTAACTCATTAGTTCCCAACCTGGGGTCCCGGCCCCCCTTAGGGGATGCTCCAGAGATCTCAGTGGGGGGGGGGGGGGCGAGGCTCTGTCTGCTCTGAGGTTGTCAATATTAGATTTCAACATATTAACTACAATTCTAATACAACACTTATTTGACGTTTATGCAAAGGTCTTTAGGTCAGAACAAGCCGGTGTGGTCCTATTCTGATTCAATATTTTTTTCTAGAAATGTTTAATGTTTATTTTTGAGAGCATTGTTTCACTTTTTTCTTTGTGTGGGTCCCAGGGGGGCTCAGCTTTTTATCTATTGAATGCATAGGTTCTAAGGTAATTATCAGGGATAGAAATTGTCAGATATTAATAGGATATCTTAAACTTCCTTTACACTCTGAAACTAAGATAGAGTTATTACATTTACTTACATGTGAAAAGAAGAAAAGCAGTAAAAACTCACAACTAAGAGGTTGGAAGACCAACATCTTTGGCATTACTGCTAGAAATGTGTCTTCAATTCTTTCATTTGCCGTTACATTTCTGTCCGTTATCTTATTAATGAAATCAACTCCAATCAACTTTGTCCAAGTGAGCCAGCATAGTAATAACAACAACAGAAATGTGAAACGTGCATTGTTAGAAGGAATACCACAAAGATTTTAACTACACCTATTTGTTCAGTGTTTTGACAATTGAACATCTGAGGAGGCATGTTATCTGTGGAAGTCAAGGAAAGAGAACAGAGGGGATGTCAGTAAAGAGGACAAGATCAAAGGGGCCAATCCACTTACTTTATCAGATCTAACAGGCCTGCTTTACTTTAGGTTAAAGTGTGCCTGTTAGAATAAACCTGATCTCATGAGCTAAGTTGATTACAGAGGATAATTAGACCTGCGGTACAATGAAGTAACTCTACGACAAAGACAAAAAGATCAGTGTGTCTACAACACAGGATAACCCTATGACTGCATGCTATCCTGTCTGTAGTCCTAATGTCCTAATTTTCACCTGTTTATGGCAAGCGGCCAGTGTGTGTGTTTGTGCATGTGTGTGTCACTTTGACAGCGGGTCCACTGTATAAACACAATGACTGAAAACATCCGCAGCATCTGTGGAGCCTGAAGTTCAATAAAAGGCGACCTGCCATTGCAAGCAGTTTCTGCCCCCGTTTGTTTTGTCACACTAACTGTAAGCAGCTGCTGTCTAATTGAAGTATAGGACATCAGTGTGCAAATGGAAGGACCAAATCTGTGAGTGCACGAGTGTTAGGGGCCACAATGTTTGCTAAAAAGGGTGATTTAACTTTGAACACTCTGTACACTGGTGAAAGAAGTAGGACTGCCTCTAAATACTTTCTGTTCCACAATCATTTGCTTAACATTTATTTTTACATTTTATTTAGGGCTGCCAATTACAAATAGACTAAACAGTAGTAGAAAAACCTTAGTTCCCCTAGTTTTCATTGATTGGTCATATGCAGAAGAAAAAACATTCTCAAACCATTCAAACCAAGAGTCTTATCTTTGTTCTGTGTTTTTTGCAGCTGTTACATTTATTTGTGCGTTACCAAAAGAGTCTTCCCATTCAGGGACGGTGGCCTTGTAGCTGATTCATCCACACGACGCAGTCTGGCCAGATTGTTTTAAGTGAGTCTCTATACTGAGCGTGAGTCACAGAAAATACAAGAATGTAACGCGAGGCACAGTGAAGCTACAATTAATTAAATGAACGTGATTATGGGTTAAAATTTCATTATTGGAATAATACAAAATTGTAAAAGACTGACAGTAAGCTAGTAAGCATCTACGAGCCATGCAAACTGAATCAGCCAAAGACACCAGCGACTTTCCAACTGGTTCCAAGGAACACATAGGAGACAATATTATACTGACGAGTGTAGCATGTTCAGTCTATAGTCATGTTTTTCCTGAGATATTTACAACCACACCTCTTCTGCTGATATCAATGTCGTTATCAGGCTGCGTGCTTCATGCATGCACCGGTACGTGTTATTTGTGGTACAGTAATAAAAATACTTTTACATTTATTTTTAAGCCTTGGAACTTAAACTATTTTCCCCCAAAAAATCATTCAAATAAATGTGAGATGGCTTAAACTAATGACTACTAAGATCATATTTAGTTTAGGGATGTAGGGGAGTTTTATTTTAAGTAATATATGGGGGGGGGAGTAAATAACTAAATAGATAGTTATGAGGATAATCCACAAATATAAAACAGTATTATTGTGTTATATTTATTTTCTTCATATGTGTCCTGCTATAAGTGTGTAGAGTTCTTGTGTGCAGGGGTATGCATGTACGAGTTAAAGCACCCATTTAAACCCAGACTCCTAGTCCTATTATCTCAAGCTGACTTAATTCTCAAATAGAGGACGGCTGTGGTCCGTAGAGAATCTGCTGAAGGGGGTTGCTATGTAAATACTGGATTGGTATTGGCTGGTCACTATGAAATGGGGTGGCGGGTCAATACTTAAAGCATTAGCCATATTGCCCCTCTAAAGAAGAGGATTGTGGATTTGCGGGGTATCTCCCACTGTGTGGGATGCAGGGGGGGGGGGTTGAGGAGACAGATCCTTTAAGTGCTGGACTGCTCACGCTCCCATCACTGCCTTAAAAAAAAAAAAAATGACTGTACCAAAACAGAGCTAGAGTGGGGAGAACTGGAGGGGGGGCGGGGCAACACTTGTGGTTGGAGGAAAAAAAGAAATCTGGGTCAGACCTGGGGTTGATAATGCTGATACCTAGTAGTCTCTATGGAAACGCAAGCTCCACCCCCCCCCCCCCCCCATAACCTGACTTCCTCTCGCCTGAAGCAGAAGCTAGCAACAACAACAGACAGCGTGTATGCAGGAAAGAGAGAAAGAGAGTGGTAGACAGAGAGGCTCTCTTAGAAGAAGAAAAAGATGGAGGATGGAGCAGACATCCTCTTAAGGCCTGTTAACTTAGCTATACACTTAGCATTGAGCTAATATTCTTCCCCAGGGAGAAAAAGCCCCTTCATGGATATATGAGGATTCCTAATAATTAACATAACACTGCTTAGGAGAATTCTTGTTTGACTTTACCCTTCAGAGGGACGTCAGAGGTCACGGTCGGCAACGTAATGAGCTGCACAAGATCCAATCTATTTTTGCAAGGACACCATAGTAGGTCAAATCTTGTCATAGAAGACGGGGGGGTTTCTTTATCTAAACCACCTGGATGGATGTCAGCCCTGACAGCCGAGAGTATGGATCAGAAGTCAGCCTGAGTACTCACCTAATTTGTTTTGCATAGCTGGTTTCAATCTCTGATCTCTCCTTGACAAATTTGGTGTACTTCTCCAAATACTCGATCCCCCACTGTGTATGCTTCTCCAAGTTGTCAAACTGATCCTGCAGGAGAGAAGAAGACGTGATGATTAAATCATTCAAACACAAGGGAGGATTTCAATCTATCATTACCAACTATACTGACTAAAGGAAGACAAGAGACGAATAACAGAAGATTAGATCAACTTCCTGAGGATGCTGGTGTAGCTCATTTATGGGTAAACACTCCAGATCACCAACCAGTCATCTTCTTATCTGAGCAAAGATTTCCACGATACCAGATTGAACTCCGATAGATCCTTCAAAACTCCTGCACTGTCTAAACTACAACGTTTCAATACTGAAACTTTGCGAATGTATTTTTGAAATGCAGACGGCGCTATATTTTGCTCGCAGCAGCTTTTGGTTGAAAATAGGACTGAAGATCTGAAGTTTTTTAACATATTCTTTGATGCTGTCCATGAGTTAAATAATGGAGATTACATTGTTTTGAAACACATGCTTTAGAAAAGCATCTTAAATTTCAACAACCGTAATACAAAATGTACTCATGATTAGTAATTACTGTCTTCTAAAACTTTACATATGATTAGCCTTGTGTCTGATCTGTTGTGACCATGCAAGCAACTAATATCTTCTTCAAAACATAAAACCAGGTACCAGCAGCCCAGGCTTCTGATAACCAAATGCAGCTGTTGAGGGCTCAACTCGTTCTTCATGATTTGATGCTGACATGTAAAGGAAAAAGTGAGGCTTTACTTGGCCAAGGTTACGGCTTGAAATTCATCAGTTTAGAAAAAGAGAGCACTTCATCTGGAATACAGACGAACACCAAAGCTCACACACGTGCCACCAAAGATTAAATTAACCGGTTATCATAGACCGTCTTTGAAATGAACTTTCTTGTGACAGGTTTGGCGTAATCTTTAAAGATTAACTGAAACAAAATCTACCTTGGTGTAGCTCCAACAGTCCCCCATCCTCTCCTCTCCCATGTCTGGAGTCTTCCTAAATCCAGCTTCCTCTACAACCACACCTTGACTGTGCGAAGTGGCAGCTCAAATAAGTCCCAGTGAACCGTGATATGTACTCTACGACTGCTTGATGCACGTCGTCTGCTCTAAAAGCCTTTTCATATAACAGGAAGCGGTTGTGGTGATGAAAAGTTCAAGAGACATTCGGATAAGGTGCAGTCTCACAGCACTTATAGGTATCTCTAAATGTAGCTTACTTCGACCTCAATACAACGGGCAACAATTTTAAGATAACATAAAGAATTGACACTTTTTGTGCGCACATATTTGGTGTGATATAATCACTGAAACACCTTTGATAAGCAGCCACACATGAAAAAAAAACACCTAATTGAAGCACTCAAGGACAACAAAAGAGATTACTTTCTGAGAGGGGCTTTCAAGTGAGCATTGTTAGTTAGTTTCAATGAGGACTCACTCAGCAACAAGCCACTCAACAAGGAGACAATAGACATTTTACTGAATTTCTAGTGAAACTCCTCTTTATTTCTCCCTCCTAGTTTCTTAACTGTTTTTGTTCCTACAAAGAGATTACCTTCCACTCTTATCCCTTGAAGCATGCCCACTCGCAGGCCTATGTGCCACTTAAAGTAATCAAACTGCATTTACTGCATTATCACAAGAAGTAGACACAAAGCTTTCCTGGAAGAAAGCAGAGAGACAAACAGTGCAGTCACATCTTGCACACAAAGCCTCCTCTCTCTCTCTCTCTCTCTCTCTCTAACCCCACACTCCTCCACACGCATAACTCAGATTACCCTTTTTTGCAGGGGCACCATCTTATCCGGTGTGTCTCCGGGTGGAATGTGTACCCTCCGGAACCATCCAAATCCAGAAAATGTCCATCCAAAAGCAGCACAACAAGAAAAGCTGATGTTAAGTTAGTGGAGGCATCTACGAGAGATTTCCATATCCCAGGTGTCCAAGGCGGTGCAAGTGCAAATAAAGTGGGAGCGTCCCTGGGTGGGGAACAATGTCCGTTAACCCAACTCCCACACAATAACAAAGAAACCGAAAAAGTAGTTCCTGACTTTAGGACAGGCGAAGGAAATCCAAGAGAGCAGGGAGAGGAACCGATGCAACACTGGTTCAGTCTGAATCTGAGGCCAGGGCTGCCTTCAGCATTCAGGCTTAATGCTCCATCAGGCGTAAGGTGGAATAAGTGGGATGAGAGAGGAGGATAGTGAGAGAGAGAGAGAGAGAGAGAGAGCGGAAAAACAGAGGGGGGAGGTTTAAAAGGAGTGGAGCTGACAGTAGAGGCGGGATTACATGGGAGGAGATTAAATTTAAAAGAGGGGGGGGACTCGTCCACACTGTTGGGACCCTGTCAACTCTGCCATTTACTATAAGTTATATCTTGTAAAATACAGAATAAAATGAGCTTGTGATCTGAAATATGATGATTCACCCTGGGCTCATGAATCTTTGCTAATATCAGATAAGATAGGAAAGGCAGTCTACTAAAATGGAAAAGTCATAAACAAAAGCAATTCTCCTGCTGCAGCAGAAAGAGCACATAAATAAATAATGAATCGCAGTGAGGCGAATGTATAAATTCAGCAACACATTATGTGAAAGTGTGTCAGACAAGAGTACATAGTCTTGTAGTCTCTTAGCCCTTACATCAACTAGGAAGTCTACAAGTTTAAGTCTTTTCACCCTGCCAGATGTGTCTTGTCCCTCCTCTGGTTCACACAGATATCCATCCAACCTTGGTTGCTGAGTTGGGCCTAAAACAACTGAAAAATGTGCTATGTGTGATAACATTGCTTAATATTGCATAAATTATATATAATGAATAAAATAAACAAAAATGAAATCAACCTTATCTATGCTTATCTACTGTTCTTTATGTTTTACAATATCTCCATCCATAAGATAATGATGGATAAAGATAAAATATACATACAATGAGTTAGAAAGAATTGCTTGTTTACGTAAAATTATTTCTTATTTACTACAGTAATTCATACTATGTCGATGTGTTTGTTGCAAATGCTCATAGCTCTTTAATGAAATTGTAATTAATAACACAACCCTGATATGTAAATTAGGCCTAAAGAAGTACCATCCAAACAATTAACCCTGGTGACACCATTATTTAATACAGTCCATCCTATCTTTTACGTGTTGGGTACGTTGTTAAGCATGTGCTGATTTGCAGATGTGGAACATTCTGAATTTAGTGTTGCAAGTCTACGTCAGGTAAATAGTGTTGGCTAGATAAAGTCGTGCCATGCCAAAGTCAATACATTACACTAAACTGAAAACTGTATAAATTGTAGGATTTAACAATACCTAACCTCATAGTCCACCACTACTTAAAAAAAAAAAGTTTGCTCTGATTGGTTGCTGTGTCCAGTCCTATTTCTATCTGCACCCATTGATGCAATGGTATTTAAAAAAGTTAAATTAATAGAGAGCTCACTATAAAAACAGATACTTTGGGATTATTCCGTAAGCATTTAATCAATTATGTATATTTTGGAGACCTGATTGAACAAATGATAACGACTGACAGTACTGATATAATCAGTCTATAAGCCACACATTCTAGATGGAAACAGTTCTTTGATGACTGTTTGTTCTTGACTATAAACACAAATATTGCCAAACCAGACAGAGGTAAAGACACATTTTTACCTCCTTTATCCCTGTAGAAACGTTAAATCACCAGGGTGCATCTAAATCATTTGAATATTCCCAACCATTTTAGTACGGTGGAAAAAAACTCATCTCAAAACTCTCAAAATGATTCACTCACCAGTTACATAAGTAAGCGTGTGTGCTCTGCATACAAAGGAAAAGGTGTCTGGCTTTCTGTCACAGTTGGCCGAACAGTTACTAGACTCTACTTGATTTTTAAACCTGAAAAATGTTTTTTTTTTTGTAAACCTCCTCCTATGTGCCTGGTGCTGACTGATAACTCATGCCCTGCCTCCATTCTGTCATGTGCGGCCTCTGACACCTGACCTTGTGCCTGCAGGAGGGAGAACATGGAGGATCCCTGCAGGAAACGAACCAGCCCTGTTCTGCTTGTTATTGTATGACACAATCCCACTCACTCTGATGCACGTACTATTGTGGGAGAAAATAAATATAACCGCACAGCTAAATGTTTTTTATTATCTGGGAAATAGGGAGCAGGTTCAAACAGAGAACAAAGGCGAACCCAAGCGTTTACTAAATATATATGTATGTTGTTCATGTGCTGAAGGAAAACAAATACGTGCTTGTTTAAAGATCAGCCTGCTGACCTCCAACCCTTCCCAACTGGTGATGGAGATTATGGTGCAGTTTCATGTATTAAGACTGCCAGTTAATCTGAACTAATGCACATTATTTAGCTTCCAACCCAGATCACATCTCTTGATCCCACACACTGAGGGTCCATTGGCCTGCATACATACAACACAGAGTTCTTCTCTATCCTCTATGTTTAATATATATACATCAGAAGGACAAGTGTATGATACAGGTGTACCATGTTCTCTGGTGCAGGCAGAAACAGTCACATGTTAATCCCAGTCACTGTATTCACAAGGTTGCCAATTTTCCTCTGACATCACACTCAGGATGGGAGGAACAAATGTTTTTATAATTTTGTGCTGCTACGTTTCATGTTTTTACATAGCATACATTTAGGGGGATTATGTTATCAATCACCACTTCTACATATTGATCAGCAATTGAAAAGAAAACAGAAAGTTGATACCAGACCATATTTCAAGAACATATCTGAAAGCTCATTAGCGCCCAAAGGCTAAGACATGACAGCTAACATTCAACCAATTTCTAACTAACCTACTGTGAGCTAGCTAACATGTTCTGTAGCCAGGAGTTTACATAATTCTTATGGTATAATGTAAACGTTCAAAAGGTAATGTTAGCTAGGAAATGGTTGATTGCTAATATAGGGAAGCTAATGATGGCATCATAGCAATTCAAAGCCAACCTTACTGTTAGCTTGCTAATGCCTATTGAATCATTTAAAATCATCAAAGTAGGCTAAGAAGCGGCTGACTGTTAGAATTAGATAGTCTTAAACTATGCTAGCTAATGGGTAGTTTAATGTCGTTGAATGCAGCACAACATTATAAAAGAGTTTGAGATTTTCACCCTGAGCACGACGACAGAGGAACATGGCCGCTGTGTGTTTACAGTGAATGTTCTGGTTATCTTCTTCAGAAGCAAAGGAAATCAAAGTATCACTGGATTTAGATCATCAAATACATACATGTTTGGATAAAGACAAAGAATTACGTCATTTATTTCCTAATCATAGCTTTTTAAAAACAAGAGTAACCCTAACATTCCAGTTCTTCTACAAAGAAACAGTTATGACGCTTGACACCGAATGAAAACGCCTGAGTACAAACAATAGAAGCAGATAAGTTCTGTTATGTCTTACAGCTCTTTTCTTTTCTGCAACAAGAGTAATGACAGAACGACTACAACATGACACAATCAACATCATGACAAACCCAATCTCTGGCACTTTAAGTAGCCCTCTTTGCGCTGCTGTTGGTGTAATTATTTCTATCCACAGATGGTTTCAAAGACACAAAGTCTGGAATAAATGTAAGAGCTGCTTTGTGACTTGACCACATATTTCCTAAGTATAGATAGACTTCCCATAATAATGCACCTGTCAGCGTGCAGGAATCCACACCACACTAAATAAGTGCTTTTTCACATGGTCATCTCTCTTATATAATGAGAACACGGCTCAAGAAGTCTAAAAACAGATCCAGTGATCATAGGTAGCCAGACACAAAGGAAGTTTGTAGAAACACCTACCAACAATGAGTGCATTGTTTTTAAAACCCCTGAACTGAAACTCCTCGGGACATTCCTTTTGTTATTCCAGCCTTCGCACCTCTGCAGAGGTCACATTGCTGCTCTGGTGATCACAGTAAAAATCAATAGGCCATTAAAAACACAAGAGTCAAGAAAAAAAAGAGTCATTCCATGAGTAAACGGGTGGAAATGAAAAATAGGAAGTAGCTGACTAATCAGTTGCAAGATGAAAAAGGCTAAATGGAAAAAAAGATGTGAATGCAGATGTGA